GGGGACTCTGTGAAGGATCTTGATCAATACCACCCCCGATTCTAAATCCACATCTATATCTCTGTTTGCCATCCGCTTCTAATACAGCATGACCTTGATTATCAATATCAGCGTCCTTCTCCAATACTATCGGTATCTAGAATATTAAATGTATGAAATGAAATCAAATGGACTTTTTATACAGCATTTAATAATTAAACACAACAAAATAAAGATCTGACCGGTTGTAGCGATAGGTCGCCTCAGAGGTAATATGAGCGGCTTATGACCCTATGACGTCGGACATTTGATTAACCAATCAGCATTGACGTTACTAGTGGATTACCCACAGTTCTGTGCAAAACACCCCTAAAGTTCGCCGTAACAAGACCGTTTCATTTTCTAATTCCTCACACCATTCAGAACAATGATAACAACTCTTCCAGATCCTACAGTGTATTAAAGATAAGTAAAACAAAATTTTGAACTATAAAAACGAAACAAAATAGAATATGTGTTTTAAACAGATTGACATATGGATAGAAGGTAGCCTATGACCTCCTGGTTAGTGAGCCAGCACCCAACTCACTGAGCCACTGCCTCTCCTAACTAGTGTTACAAAGACCATAACTGCTTGATTCAAGAACATAATCTCCAGGTGGTTTTCAAATAAAATCTTGGACTTTTGAATAATAACTAGTACATGTATGCATTCTTCAGTTTATTTAATGGGTTAAACTTAAAAGATACATTATGTAAGATTTAGATAAAAAGCTGACAGTTCTTGCTATAATAGTTTGAAAATAGATAATAACCAGCGGCTGCCAGACAGGATACGCCCACATTTTCGAGAGATGGATAGAAAACAAGCTAAAATATCGAAAGGAACCAAGATCTTTGAGTTATAAACTTACATTTCAAGTTTCAACAAAATCGGATAAAAATTGTGACCTCTATAGGGTCCAAAACCTTGATATACCATATTTTTACGCAATTTGAGAACGAGGGGTGGCCATTTTGTCTGTCAGTTTTGGGTGTAACGGTGATATAATAATACGTTTTTTTAAATCGGATAAAAATTATGACCTCTATAGGGTCTACAGGCTAAAAACGCGATTTTTCGTACAATCAGGGGCCATAATTCAGGATGTTACGTTCCGATATGCGCGAATATCGAAAGGAACCAAGATCTTTGGGTTATAAGCATACATTTCAAGTTTAAATCAAATCGGATAAAAATTGTGACCTCTACAGTCTTCACAAGCTAAAAACGTGATTTTTCGTACAATCAGGGGCCATAATCCATGAAGTTACAGTCCGATACATGCCAATATCGAAAGAGAACGAGATCTTTGGGTGATAAACCTATATTTCAAGTTTCATTGAAATCGGATAAAAATTGTGACCTGTAGACTGTTCACAAACAATTGTGGACTGACGGACAGGGGCGACGACAATATACATCCACATGAAAACGTGGGCGTATAAAAAATGAATATATTGAAAATTTCAGTCAAATTATTTTATTCTGAGCAAAGTTATCATTGAAGTTTTAACTACATGTATATAGTCTTGATTGTCAAGTACCATTGCTATGATAATAAACAAAGTCTTCATTATCCATTTCTAAGTTAAATTATTAAATGGTGATCACTATGGAAGGGTATCGCTGCCAATATTAAATGCTCTGCTACAATGTCTTTTCTATTGATTATATGTAAAAAGTACAATGTACAAAGTCATAATACCGGTAATGATAAAGTCAAAATACCTCTAAGGCAAGAGTTAAATGTAAAACGTCAAATGTTAAGTGTTAAATGACAAATGTTTTGTGGGAAAATGATTTTTTGACTTGTCTACATTTTACATTTCTCTCATTACATTTGCGCTCTGCCACATCCCATTTGTCCTTCACACATTCTACATAACATGTTTCGCACAGCATCAACTTGCATAATATGCAAATGTAGGATATCACGTGACTTATTAACATATACGGAAACCTGGCACACTATAAGCCAGAACAAGGATATTCATGACACTATAACAGGAAATCAGCCTAGCACACAATAAAAATTTACTAACCTTGACACTTTAGATGGCACTTTATGATTATTACGGGGGGGAGGGGGGGGGGCTGTGCAATGTCCAAATACGAAATTTCAGGTATCATGTTACATATTAGTGAAAGTCACATTCATTTCTGTTTGTAAATATGTAAATAGTTTTCTGGTACAATCGTATTTTCATAATTTAAATCCAATAAATATCACACTATTAAAGGGGTATTCAAGTAAAAATACTGGTCTAAATACGAAATTCCAGATACCATGTTAAGTATCACTGATTGCTCTTTTCAAATATACAAATAATTTTCTGGCACATTCATATTTGCTTGACTTTGAAGTTGAAGTGAAGGAAGGGGGGGGGGGGGACTAAACTAAAATAAAGATACAGGGCTTAATTAAAAATCCTTTATGTCCATACTAAAAGATGTATAGTCATTCCTCTCTTTAAATATATTATTTATTTGTTGGGCACAATGCTTATATATTGTTGGTTTTTTTAATGGATCAAAGTATGCTACTCAACTCTGTTTATAGAGAGACCAGAAAGAGTGGGGGTGTTTAAAATATAAAAATAAGGGTATTAATACGAAATTCCAGTTATTGTGTTATAAATTACTGGAAAGTATGTTTCTTTGGCTGCTTGAATCTATCAATTATTTCCTGGCACATTCAAAATTACACACGGTCGTCTAGATAGTTTCTTATGGTGTGCCAGCTTGATTTCTTTTGTCGCGCGGTGAATATCCTTATAGTGTGCTTGTGCCAGGTTTCCATATATGTTAATAAGTCACGTGATATCCTACATTTGCATATGCAAGTTGATGCTGTGCGAAAGTTGCTATGTAGAAAGCGTGAAGGACAAATGGGATGTGGCAGAGCGCAAATGTAAAATGTAATGAGAGAAATGTAAAATGTAGACACGTCAAAAAAAGTATTTTTCCACAAAACATTTGTCATTTAACACTTAACATTTGACGTTTTACATTTAACTCTTGCCTTAGAGGTATTTTGACTTTATTAATATCGGTATTAGGACTTTGTACATTGTACTTTTTACATATAATGAAAGGAAACGACATTGTCGCAGAGCATTTAATATTGGCAGCGATACCCTTCCATAGATCACGTGAATAAATGTCTATTTAAACATACATTATGCATATTACAGGTCTTTTTTTAGGCCTGAAATGTTATCTAAATTATTAATTAGACATTAATTTGATTAATTAACTTATCCAGATCATAATCAACTCTCGATGTCGTCGCTAGCCTGCGATGTTTGTTGAATTAGGTTCCGATTTGCTGTTTAACTTCCATTCATGATTTAATCATGAAATGGATAATCGAGACAATGTGTTTTATCATGCTGACCTTAGTAATGTTAATCAAGGCTAGGCTGAAAATTCAATCACTAAAATCTCGGTTCAGAGTGGATCAATTTGACTGAAATTTTCAGCAAATTCCCTTTACATTATCTAGTTTTTAACTATTATAGTGAGAACTGCCAGCTCTTTATCTAATCTCCCATAATGTATCTTTAATAATTTATATAACATTTGAGGCCAAAAGGAGATTCTGCAATAGGCTGATTTGTTACCATTACATACAACATTGCTACTCATTTCTGTGTCTCTGTCTGTCAAAAGCAGTAAATTCTGATTCTCATATTTTGTAGTGTGGGTTAGTTGTATTAAATTAAACTTTTAAGAGTGACTTAATTCAAATGACAACTTCTGTCAACTGCTGGAAATCCAAATGAAGTAAACTGTGGGTCCCAACCACTATTATTCTCCTGCAAATGTCATCAGTTTATGTACATGTCAGTAACAAATTCACACTATGGTAATATTAAAACATAGATGCACATACTGTACTGTATAGCTAAAACCGCTTCATTCAAAATAATGATGTTATAACTGCACTTGTACTATTATATAAATTCATAGATGACGGTTTTAAAATAGACAGAGAAATGGGGTTTAATGTCGGGCTTTTATGTCCCCTCAACAAAAACTAGGTCATTTCAGGACTAATTCTATTTCCATAATTCGCTTGTGCTTACAGATCTTTATCAGTGGGAGGAAACCAGAGGACACAGAGAAAACCCACAGACAGGCACCTCTCCTCCTTCTCACATACAAGCAGGGTCAGGGAATCGAAACCACACCACTTGACTCAATGACAGATTTTATGATCTAAAACAGACGCATCAAACTATTTTGCCACCCACCCACCCCCTTATTTATGGTTTTAAACCATGGCGTATCATTAATCAGACTGTAACATCGTAAGTGGTGTTCTGGAAATGCTGTGTGAGATCTATAAATTGAAATTCCACAAAATTAGGTCTGTCTGGCCCTGTGTCATTACACCGAAGGGAAATCAACTTACTGATATAGGCTGGTGGCTCTAAAAATATATAGTAAAACTAGCTGTAAACAAGAACTCAAAATGGGGTCATGAATGTCAAATTTGACAGTCTTGGGTGGTGACTAATTTCACAGACTGAGGATATCTCATACTTACACTATAGCACTCGAGAGGATCCCCGGCCGTATGGCCCGCCATATCTTGCATCAAAATTTCCAGTTTTACGACAGATGAAACCTTCTTTAAAAAATTCAACCCCAAATCTTCCCACGACAATCAATAAAACTCTTTGATCGGCTAAAAAAACAAAAGTTGACTTTCTCTTCTATTTTTCAGCAGGTGCCCGGTTTCAAATTTCAGACTATAGGTAAATATAAACTGAAACGAAGTTAAGGCAATTTTATGTATTAATTCATAATTTAAATTATTATTTTGATATAAACAAGATATGAACTGTACGTGTTATTGTAGTTATAGATGTAATAAATACATAACGATTCTAGATATTTTTCTCTTCATTTGATTTTTGTTTCGTTTCGATAAAACTTTCATTTTAAAATTTGGCACAAGCCAGTATGCCGCCAGACTTCAAATAAAATGTGCACGTGAACGAACCGAGTAAATTATTTTTTTCTCTTGCCACCTACTGAGTTAATTAACAAAAGTCGATCTTAAACAGTTGCTGGAGATGGACTTTAAGAAACAAGAAACTGTGGTAGAGCCTATTGATAGATGGTTTATGAGAGAGGTACGAAATAAACAGAACATTGCCTTGTGCATATTGATTCTGGAGACTGAATAATAGAACCAATTAGGCTATAAATGTCCGCTCCACTGGTGTGATATCGCAGACCATGTCAATGCCCTCACTTTTAGTAATAGAATTTTGACATGCTTCTAAACTAAAAGCATAACAGTCACAAATATCCATAAAAGGCGATTATGTGTGATCGGACTCCCCTTTTCTATTTCCATCACTTTCCATCACTTTTACATTCCATTACCTTTACATTTTAGGGGGGCGCGCGCTGTATTATAAAGGCTGTCATTGCATTGAGTCAACTGGTGTGGTTTTGAATCCCTGGTTGTACGTGACAAGGAGTAGGGTTGCCTATCCATGCTCGTGTGTTTTCTCTGGGTCCTCAGGTTTCTCCTCTCACTGCTAAAGACCCCTACGCGCAAGCGAATTATTGAAATAAAATTAAACCATATGTTAGTCCCGAAATGACCTAGTTTCTCTCTCTCTTTACATTTTAGGGTTAGGGTCAGGTATTTAAGATTAAAACCTATAAATTCAGGGTTAGTGGCTTAAGATTAATACCAATGAGTAAGACAAAATCTTCAACAAAAATGGGAGTCACATCAAACATGAATGCCCCATAAAAACATAAATAATGATGTACACACTGCCAGTAATAACTTAAATGTGTGAAAGGAAAATAATATTCGGGGGGGGAGGGGGGCTCAGATGAGCCAAATGTGGTGTCAAGGGTTCCAATGCACTGCCCAGTTCACAACACCTTCATGACAGACAGTGCTGCTGTTCTGGATATTTGGGCTTTGTAAAGGAGCAAAATATTTTTTCAGCTTCTTAAAAATGTGGTCATGTTTTAAAACTGCTGATCGGACAAGTATAATTTCTATGGCTTAATATGTGATAAAATGTCCATATTCATTGGCCTAGTCAGAGCACAACAGTACGTAGGACATAAAACCAAAATATCAGTGGTAGATAATCTCCTGACTTGGATTCAGTTGGATTAAAGAGCAGTCCTTCACGTTTAAGGTGAGCTTTCGCTCCTGCTCCTCTCGACGCACATCGGCTTTCCTTCGAAGGAGTCATTAAAGACTCCTGCAAATTAGCTAAATTGCTCTCCTAAATATTGAGAGTAATAAACTACTTTAAGTTTTTGTTTACTTTTAAACTGCATACATTCAAGGTCCGGGACAATTTTATAAACATGAAGAACTGAAAAAGTGGTCTATCAAAAGATTTTACATAACACCGTAGGTTGTGTAGTATTTTCAGCCAATTTGACTGTCAAGTTAAGTCCATAATAATACCAGTGTTACTTATTTGACATCTAAAGCATAATATCTGAATTGAAGCCACGGCAAAGTGTTAATACATAGGTCAAATCCCGCTGGTTGTACAGGACTCCATGGAAAGGTGAAAGGGGTTCCGGTTATCATGACGGTCGCCTGTATTATACAGGGCAAAATCACAACAGTGGCTTGACTGCAGAGAGTGGCATAGGTTTTTTTTTAGAACTGAATATGGAGGAAAGGTTTTATATCATGTTAAACCGAGTTTATATTCTTTGAATGGCATTTAGTACTTGGAACATAATCAAAGAAACATGTATTTGCTTGATAACGACTTGTGAAATCTTGTTGAAAACATCACAGTGAAAAAAAACCATGCGTGTAGTAATTGTCATTCCATAATTAAGTGTGTTTCTTTGAAAACTGAGTTTATATTTGTAGGTATATGTTTGGAGAAAAATTGGAAGTATATTCTGGTATATAACCTGTCTACCTATATTGACTGTGATTTATATTCTGGCTGTTAATATCAACATCTTTCATCCAATACAAACACTAATAGGTAACATTTTGTTTATCTTAAAAATAAAATTAATTTAAATGTCTTCCGTTTTATTCGGCCAAGCCAGGACATAAGGCACCGATCACAGACTTTGTCAGGCACAAATTATGACATAACATTTTTATTATAACATATACATTGTGTAATAATTTGTGTCTGACAATGTTTGTGACAAGTGCCTTATGCTCGGGTTTGTATATATTCATTGTGTGATAATTTGCCTATTCCTGAGATTAAACTTTATTTGACAACCTTCTATTGGTATGAGAGGGGGTGGTTGGATGGCCGAATGTTTAGCATGTGTGCGCTGTATCATAAGGTCTTGTCATTGAGTCAACTGTTGTGGTTTCGATTCCCCAGTTGTACGTGACAAGGAGTAGGGTCAACTGTCCAACCTCGTGGGTTTTCTCCGGATCCTTCGGATTCCTCCCACTGCTAAAGACTTTTACGTGCAAGCGAATTATTGAAATAAAATTGAACCATGTGTTAGTTCCAAAATGAAGTAGTTTGTGTCGAGTGGACAATAAACCCCATTTCTCTCTCTTTCTCTATTGTTATGTTTCTGACTCACTAACTAGAAGGTCATGGATCGATCCCAGTGTTGGCCGATAAAGTTACTCTTTGTCAATGATGCAGGATGGAGGGTCTGGCAAGGAATGTTGGTATCCATGTCAAAGAATCCATGACTAGGAATTCGATGAAGAGTAGGCATTAACGCCGATATCCAGGCAAAATTTACATAATAGTACACTATGTGACATATGCCTGTGGGGGGTTGGATGGCAGAATGGTTAGCACATGCGCCGTGTATCATAATGTTTGGAGTGGTTTCGATTCCCCGGTTGTAGATGACAAGGAGTAGGGTCGCCAGTCCAACATCGTGGTTTTCTCCGGGTCCTCCGGTTTCCTCCCACTGCTAAAGACCCCTACGTGCAAGCGAATTACTGAAATAAAATTGAACCATGTGTTAGTCCCAAAATGACATAGTTTGTGTTGAGTGGACGTTAAACCCCATTTCTCTCTCTCTCTCGACATATACCTGTCTTCATTAGCCTGGTTGGTGCAGAAAAGTAGGATGTTAAACTTAACCTTGTTTCATTCCATTTTCATTTATTTATCAACCAGTTTCAGCAGATTACATTTGACATATATAATTCATAAACTTTGTAGGAGTATGTAAAAACAATGTTTTGTTATATTACAGATGTCTTTATGACGATATTTTCGTTGTCAATGGTGTTACAACTGGTGTTTATATTGATAATAAATGGAGCCTTAATTTGGTATTCTTCAGCATTCTTTACAGGTAGGTAAATGAGGTAGAAAAGTAGAACGTTAAACAAGCCTGGACAGAAAGTCTCACCTGTCACAGATTTTGTCAGACATAAATTATCACATAACATTTATTTTGTGTGATAATTTATGTCTGACAAAGTTAGTGACAAGTGCCTTATATCCAGGTTTGGGGGGTTGGATGGCCGAATAGTTAGCATGTGCGCGCTGTATCATACGGCCTGTCATTAAGTCATCGGCGTGGTTTCGAATCCCCGGTTGTACGGACAAGGAGTAGGGCTTCCTCCCACTGCTAATGACCCCTAAGCGCAAGGGAATTATTGAAATAAAATTGAACCATATGTTAGTCCCGAAATGACCTAGTTTGTGTTGAGTGGACGTTAAACCCCATTTATCTCTCTCTCTTTAGGTGTAGTAAGTATTTGATTACTTTCTCTTTCTATTTTCTAGTGACGCCTGAGATTGGTGAAACAAGATTTAGTAATTTACTACGTCTGATGAAAATAAGTCGTTTATGTCATCTGGGTGTTTATTGTATGGGTAGTGTGATTCTATCCTGGTGTTGTTCAAGTTTCATTGGTGGAAAATATTCGTCTTTAACACAATCCCCCGATGGGTATGTATACATATTCTAGTTCTTGTTTAACATAAGACATTATCATTATTTAAATTTTGTTTCCTGTTTTTGTTGAACTGTTTCTTTGAAAATGTTAAAATATTTAACAAAATTAGTTTTAAATGACAGTTATGACACTACACATATATTGCTTTCGCTCTGGTCCGTCTAGCTGTCTGTTGTCAACAATTTTTGTTTGGATGTATTAATTTGGAATTTATACACAATGTTTATTTTCATGAGACGAAGAAGCCTATTCATTTCTGATAATTACTGTCAAAGTTTTGGCCAGTGATCATTTAAAAAATCTTATGGACAACACTTAGAGGCTAAAGTTATCAACTGGTGGAATTCCTACACAGTGTTTCTATTAGAGAGGAGGGGTTGGTTTATCTAGTGGATTAACGCTTGCGCGTGAAATCATAAGGTCTGTCATAGTCAAGTGGCACGGTTTCGATTCTGCGCTTGTACATGACAAGGAGTATATGGTCGCCTGTCCATCCCTGTGGGTTTTCTCCGGGTCCTCCAATTTCCTCCCACAGCTAATTATTTAAATTAAATTGAAGCATATGTTAGTCCTGTAATGACCTAGTCTGTGTCGAGTGAACTTTAAACCCAATCTCTCTCTCTCTCTCTCTCTCTCTCTCTCTCTCACTGTGTATTAAAACAATTTCCTATAATTATTGATCTATTTTAAAGATTGACTTGAAATTCATACTTCATGATGCTCGGCATAAGCTTCTTTTCCTAGCAGCCTGTCATTTTGAATAAATGAAATGAAATGAAATGGAGTTTAACATCCTACTTTTCAGCATTGACTGGACTAATGAAGATGGGTGTACACCATACAGTGTATTTTTAAATAGTTATGTAGACAATTATTGGGTAATATATATTTGTATTATACTTTTCAGACTCGTGGTGAATTTAAATGAACATCACTTATTTCTGATTTTATATGGATTATTTCTGGGAATCAGTTTCTTCTCACAGTTTTACCTTGACCTCAATAATTATCTTGAGTTTCCATTGATACAGGTAAATATACATCTAAATAGCAAAATCGTTGAAAGTCTAAAATGGGGTTTAATGTGCTACTTTTCTGCGCCAATCAAGTTAATGAAAACAGGCATACGCCATGCAGTGTGCTAGGAGGGCCTTTTATTTCAATAATTCGCTTGTGTGTAGGGGTCTTTAGCAGTGGGCGGAAACCGGAGGACCCAGAGGAAGCTCACGAGGTTGGACAAGCGACCCTACTCCTTGTCCCATACAACCGGGGAATCAAAACCACGCCAGTAGACTCAAACACAAACCTTATGATGCAACGCGTATGCGCTAACCATTCGGCCATCCATCCCCCACCTATAAAATGACCTGTAGGTTTGGAAAAATTGTGTTAATTGTATTTTTTGTTTTTTTTAGAGAGACAAGTTTTTTCAAGTGAGAAGTATGACTGGTTGTCTGTTGATATGTTGTATTAAAAACACCCTCAGACAAGTCAAATATTTTTATCTTCTCTATTATTTATTTGGTGAGTGAGCTTAAGATACATTATATAAGATTTAGATAGAGCTGACAATTCTTGCTATAATATTTAAAACCTGTATAATGAAAAGGGAATATGTTGACAATTTCCTTTTATAACAGATGCTACCCATGACAAATGATAACTGGTCTTGAAATATCCCAATGATTTTTCTTCGCCCATTCAGGGATTCAAATCTTTGGAGTTTCAGGTTATTAGTTCAGTGTGCTGGCCACACCACCACTGTTGACCCATTAAATAATATAGAATAATTCATATTTAAAGAATAAGGTCAGAGTTCAATAAAATGTATTAAGTATTTTTTTAAGGTTCTGTTCCAAGAGGATGGGTGATGTATAATCTAAATCTGCAATTTAGGTATGTTGGATTGTGTATAAGCTAAACCACCTGAATAGCTCTCCGTACTGGAGATTAGAACCGTTTACTAGTTCATGGGGCGGCCCTCATTATTCACTGGAGATTACGACTGTTTACTAGTTCTTGGGGCAGCCATCATTATTCACTGGAGATTATAACTGTTTACTAGTTCTTGGGGCGGCCCTCATTCACTGGAGATTACGACCGTTTACTAGTTCTTGGGGCAGCCCTCATTATTCACTGGAGATTAGGACCGTTTACTAGTTCTTGGGGCTGCCATCATTATTCATTGTACTTTGGCAGTTTAGGTCGGTTTAAGGAGCACTAGGATTAAGGTTAAATTCCCTGAATATATAATTTTATGATACGTCAGTTGACTGGCAAGTAAATTCGCAGCTGTCAAGTTCATAACTATTAGACAGTATATTCGTCCTGTTTTACTGTGGTGTACAAACTTTTTAAATTATATTTTACACTGTTGATGATGTACCATAATACAGTATATCCTGTTTAACTGTGGTACGGCCTGTTTAACTGTGGTATATAGCCCGTTTAACTGTGGTATATTAGACAGTATATATGGCTTGTTTAACCGTGGTATATTAGACAGTATATATGACCTATGACCTGTTTAACTGTGGTATATTAGACATGGCATATGACCGGTTGAACTGTGGTATATTAGACAGTATATACAGCCTGTTTAACTAGGGTATACAAACTGTTTAATTGGGATATATTATATTTTACCTGTGTAGATGATGTACCATTAGACAGTATATGGATTGTTTAACTGTGGTATATTAGTATATACGGCCTGTTTAACTGTGGTATATTAGACAGTATATATACGGCCTGTTTAACAAGGGATATATTATATTTTACAGTTTAGATGATGTACCATTAGACAGTATATATGGATTATTTAACTGTGGATTATTGTGGGAAGTTCTGATATTTGGTGTTTATATCAATTACACCTGGTCTCTGGCGAACATTCTCTTCAAAATATACCAAACAGAGGTAATATTAAGGTTATTACCAATAAAAACCACATTTTAAAATACTTATTTCTCATATTTGTAGGTATTTAAATATGGTGAATTGAAATTTATTTTTTCGAATGGTAATTGGGAGCATACTGTGAGTTAATATAAGAAAGAAATATACCTAGATCAAGTCTAAATCATGTCTCAACCACAAAAATGGACAATTCTAAAAATTTTTATGTTAATAGTTTAGTGTACAGTGAAATTCAAATCAAATTAAATTTAAAAAATCACCATAAAGCCTGTTTTCAATGTGTGCGTTTTGGCCAGTTACATTACATTTGCATTAGACCGGCTTTTTCAACGGCCAAAATGTGTACATGGAAAATTGGCCAAAATGTGTACATAGAAAACAGGCCTAACATGGATCCATTGGGTTAGATTTTGTTCCTGTCACTATTTTAAAGTATCAGCATTTTTGTCTCGCACATTCACAACAAATAAAAATGTCCAAATATAGTTATCTAAAACGATCCAAAAACGTAAACAAATACAGTAGGTCTACCAGTATCCGGTCGCACAGGTCGGGAGCATATTTGGCAACAGAGTAGCCAACTTAATTTATTTAATCACTAAATTTCAGAGTTCCAATAAGAATTACACAATAAACATAGAAGAAACAGGATCATTATTGGGTGTTAGAGGACAAATGTTTTTAGCTGTCATGATAGGTTGAGATATTTTCTGAGGCAGTCGGCACATGTTGTACTCTGAAATTCTCCTTTTCACTCTACACTATTTTTGGAATTGCGAGAAATTAATTCTGAAACATTCAATCAAGTATCCCCAATTTGTATCAATTTTTAATGGGAGACAACTCTGTTTTCAGACCTTACTCTCATATTATCTCCCCTTAGACCACTATTTGAAATATCTTCTAATATTATTTGTAGCATTATAGTTTCCCAGTAGAGGATGTATTTGATAGTCAGTATCAAAGATGTCTATACGATGCTCTCAACTGTAATATTCAACCGTTAATCAAGGTAGGATTATAATTAAAACCCTCTCCTTTTAAATCGGAACAATCAATATTTTGTTTATCTGAGGTTAGCAAGACTTTCTTTTAAACATCAGTCTCATTTCATAAATCAATTTGTAAGTGATCTTACAGAAGAAAAACCTACAAACGTTACTGTGTAATGCTTTAACCTTTTACCACTTGGTACATTTAAATTTTGAGTAGACCCCGGTTCCTTGGAAAAAAGATAGCCCAAAATACAACTTTTCAAATGACTTGGGCTGTTTAGTGCTCTCAAAGCAGCACTAGTTGCGGGTGGTCCAGTTTTTAAAAGGTTATGGGTGGGTTGGTGACCAACTGATTTGACTTCTGAGCTTTAGATCATAAGGTCTTTCATTGAGTCAAGTGACGTGGTTTTGATTCTCTGGTTGTAGGTTCGCATGTCCATCCTCGTGTTTTTTTCTCTTGGGTTCTCCGGTTTCCTTCCACTGCTAAAGACCCCTATGCGCACGGGAATTATTGAAGTAAAATTGAACCATATGTTTGTCCTGAAATGACATAGTTTTTGTCAACTGGATGTTTAACCCCATCTCTCTCTCTCTCTCTCTCTCTCTCTCTCTCAGCTTTATGGTTATGGTTGACTTACCTGATTCAATTGACTAAGAAGTAAGTTAAAGATGCCTTCCCGCGTACAAACTGTGTAGTTTGATGATGTATTTGGACTAAAAACATATTCAAACTAATTAATCTATCAAATATTTGCTTCAAATCCTTCACAGAACATTGTAATTTGTATTCGCGGGGAAATACCCAAAGATATAAAAAATATATTTTTAGAAGCCATGTTTGTTATGTGACTTATTAATTACTGTCCATTTGCCATACATATTGAAGCCTAAGTAAATTCTTGGATTACCGCCCACCCATACAAGAAATATCAACGGCTCCCAAAGGCAAGCTGGCAAAAAATAAGCCGTCAGGTCGGCAGTTAGTGATACCCTGACATTTTTGCCCAATGGTTGCCACATGGGTGCTCATGGAATCCGGTATTTTTATAGTAAGATTGAGCGTCTCTACTTTCCACTTAGACCAGATTTGCCATACTTTTATTGGAAATAACTATCCTGTAAATACTTTTGTGAGAATGCATCTTTAATTTCACAGCCAGTCAGCCCATTAAAATCAAATCATGATTTCATTATTTTTTTCAGTATTTGGGATTTTTAGACTTATATTCACTGGCCAAGTTTTCAGCAGAGAGAAGAAAACGGATATTTTGTTTGAGCCAGCCCGGAGGTCATCCACACGCATGGAATCGTATCAGTTCTGTATGCCTAGCGGAGATAAATGATTTATGTGGACAGATTGAAGCTGCCAATTGGAAAACATATGCCAGTGTCCCAGTTAAACAGGCAAATGTAATAGATAGACCTTATACACAAGGTAAGAGGCAGAGACATTATGATCCTGTCGGTGAGGTGGGGTGGCGGTGGGGGAGTGGATGTTTAACACGTACGCGCTGTATCATAAGGTCTGTCATTGAGTCATCTGGCGGGGTTTCGATTCCCCGATTGTACTTGACAAGGAATAGGGTAGCCTGTCCAACCTCGTGGGTTTTCTCTGGGTCCTCCAGTTTCCTCCCACTGCTAAAACCCCTAAGTGCAAGCAAATTATTGAAATAAAATTAAACCATATGATAGTCCAGAAATGACCTAATTTGTGTCAATTGGACATTAAACCCCCATTTCTCTTTCTCTCTCCCTGTTGGCGAGTGTATTGCAACCGCTATCTCGCCGGCCAAAGGGAATTCCCCATGACCAAATCTCTTGTTAGGAAGTACATTTAACCTGGAGACTGCATAGGACAGAATGATATAGGTTTCTCCAGATATACAAATACATGCATAGCTCAGATCTGTGGTGACGTTAGCCATAGGGTGTTACCTTGAACCGAATTAGTAGAAAGTATATTTAATCCCAAGACAGCATATAGGATAGACACGACAGAAAAATCTGGATTGAAGAGTCTATTTTCAGGCTGCTTGCTGAGGTTGAAAATTTCCTACTACACTGAGGGAGCTAGTGTATTGGAAGAGCTAGTATTCTGGAGGAGCTACTCTTCTGGAGGAGCTACCTGTAGTCTTCAAGAGGAGCTACACTTCTGGAGGAGCTACTTGAAATATTCTGGAAGTGCTAGTCCACTGGAAGGGCTGGTATTCTGGAGGAGCTAGACCACTGGAAGGGCTGGTATTCTTGAGGAGCTAGTCTTCTTCTGGAAGTGCTAGTCTTCTTCTGGAAGTGCTAGTCTTCTTCTGGAAGTGCTAGTCTTCTTCTGAAGGACATAGTTTTCTTCTGGAGAAGCTACTGTCTGAGCCATCATAAACTAACTTGCCTATGTCTGAAATGACCATTTGTTAATTAAAATCCATTACTCTCCTTCGGGACGACCTTCAGTTGCACAGTTTTTTGCACTATAGTTCAACCTGTGGTCATGACCAGCCATACCATACGATAGAGCACGATCGGGATAGTTCAGACTGTAGTCCGAACCATAGTCTACACCCGAAGGTTGCCCTGGAGTCTGCTGGAGGGCTAACTGTAGTCTACTGACGGAGCTAGTCTTCTGCAGGAGCTACTTGTCTACTCAAGGAGTATATTGGTTTTAAAAGTTGTTTTCGTTTGTTGGAGTGCAGAAATATTGTACCTTAATTCCATTTCATTTCTTTTATAGGGGAAAGTGTGAATGAATCTGTGTTTTATCATTCGGCCACCCTACACAGCATGAACTACAATAATAACTTCAGTCATATTCCACTTGATAACACAAGTCCAGGTAACATATAAATATTTATTTGATGTCTAAAATTCTCCATCTGGAATCAGATTCTCTCATAAAATATGGACATAAAATTTTAAATGAGGACAGATAAAATGAAATTAGATTAACAGTTTTATTTTTGACGCAGATGAAAGAAGTTTAGCCATTTTAATATTTAATTTTAGTGTCTGAAAATGACATAGAACCAGCACCGAAAAAAACATTCACCATATGGAGGGAGAAGGTAAGCTGTTTATATTATATATTCATTATTTTGGAGCCACCTGGAGTTCCCATGTTCGATCCCTGCATCGGGTTTTTCCGGCGGGGTTCCTCAGTGTCAGTATACACATTGGCATGCACGTTCAAGATCCCTTGGCAGTTTGATTTCGATATAAGAGTAGGCTGTAGCGTTGTCAAGGCAAAATTTCCCTCATAGCACACTGCATGTTGCATGCCTGTCTTCATTAGCCCAGTCAGAGCTGAACAGTAGGACGTTAAACCCCATTTTCATTTATTGTAATAGGGTCTCTCCAACCTTGTGGGTTTTCTCCGGGTCCTCTGGTTTCCTCTCGTCGCTAAAGACCCCTATTGAATTATTGAAATTGAATAAATGGTTAATAAATTTCAGTTTGAAATCAATTTATAATGCTGAATTTGTCTCTAGTTTTCAGCTCTGATCAGTAAGAAGCCTGGTATTGGTTATTTTATGGGTGAATTACCCGACTCTAAAAGCCGTGTTCTGTTTGCTGCATCACAAATACAGATCTGGGCTGTTGAAGGTTTGATTTAATTAACAATTTGTAGTTTATGTAGAACAGCTTACAACACTTCACCTTTATTTGGGAAGTTCACATAGCTAGCGATTTTCTTTGTGCTGGGATTGAAGCATCTTCCAAATACATGGATAAACTGAACTGGCTCAATTGAACCCTTGCACCAGTATAAACATAACAGAATCTTCCAAATAATATTGTAGCCGCGATGGCTCAGTAAGTAAGATGTTGGCTCACAAACCTAGAGGTCCCGTGTTCGATCCCCGTGTTAGCCAAGAAAATTCATTGCAATTTTTGGAATGGTTCCCCTTTGGGAGTGGGTGCAGGATGGAGGTCCTGGCAAGGGACAATGTTTAGTCCTTCGGATGGGACCAAATACTAATGTCGTCTGTACAGTCCATGTATAATATTCTAATATTTTCAGCCTTGTCTGATCTGGTGACGGCTTCTTTTGAGGAAGATAAATTTGGTATAGTTCAAAGGTCATTACCCACAATTCTCTCCAGTTTACTCAACTTACAGGAGGTGAGCCTTTGTTTACTATCTGATCTGTTTTCGGTGATGGCACTGCAGTGATCATATGGTCAGGGCACTGCTGTGATCGAGTGGGCAGGGCACTGCAGTGCTTAAGTGGTCAGGGCACTGCAGTGCTCAAGTGGTCAGGTCACTGTGGTGCTCGAGTGGTCAGGTCACTGTGGTGCTCGAGTGGTCAGGGCACTGCTGTGATCGAGTGGTCAGGGCACTGCAGTGCTCGAGTGGTCAGGGCACTGCAGTGCTATAGTGGTCAGGGCACTGCAGTGATCGAGTGGTCAGGGCACTGGATTCTCGACTAGAATGTCTCGGAATCAAAATCCCTGGTTATACGAACTTTCAGGGAGCACCTGTGGGAAGGTCAAGTAATGTGTGTCCAGTTGTTTGGATGGGACGAAAAACGGAGGTCCAACTATGTACACATTAGCGTGCAGAACAGAAGACCTGGGAAGGGACACCCTATAGTCATTTGGATGGTACAAAAACCAAGGTCCTGTGTACCCATGGGCGTGCCCGTAAAAGAATCCTTGCTAGCTGAAATTCGAAAGAGTAGGCCGTAGAGCCGCTTTCCGGGCAAAATTTCTCTCATAGTATGACATATACCCATCTTTATTATCCCAGTCAGTGCAGAATAGTAGGATGTTAAACTCAATTTCAGTTCATTTCATTTCATACACTGTGTTGTTTTTGCTGTATTTTTTTTTAGAATGTAGAGAAACATTTTAAACTGGTTACCCCGTTAACAAGACGTAATAATAAAGATATATTTACTGTCAATGATGCCACGTTACGATATCAACTACAGACTGTGTTAAAGAGCTCCATATATAGAATCATTAATAAATTTGGTAAACATATTCGGTAAGTATCTTTCATATTTCCTTATTTGGTAATTATGTCCCATTGTATTGCCTTATTTGGTAACTATGACCCGTCGTAAGTCGATTCCCTGGTTGTATGTGACAAGGATTAGGGTCGCCTGTCCAACCTCATGGGTTTTCTCCAGTTCATCCGGTTTCCTCCCACCTGGTAAAGACCCCTACGCATAAGTGAATTATTGAAATAAAATTGAATGATATGTTAGTCCCGGAATGACCTAGTTTGTGTGAGTGGATGTTAAACCCCATTTCTCTCTCTCTCATCTTTCTTTTTCTAAAGATCTTTTAATTTCATTTTTATGATTTTTATGTTTTCAGAGATTTACCAATGGATCCAGATTGCTCTAAAAAACTTCGTCCATTTTTGGAGTACAAGGAATGACAGTTAATAAGTGAAAAATGACATTTATAAATCAAAATGGATGAATGATGATAAATATCAGAAATCTGCTGTGACTGCCAGAAATGTTAAAGTGCTCAAAACAAATTTATGGACCAGGAACTGGTTCCCCAGCCCTACTCATCTTTCTCTTCGCTCCGCCAACTCAAGTACTATTTTTTATATGACATCACAATTCCGAGATTGCGGCGATGGTCATGCTTGGTTCCTGGTCCATATTACTGTTGTAATAAGATAATCAGACTGTTTATTCAAGAAAACTTAAAGAATGCAGCCTTTATGTTGGACAAGAGATAAAATTTGTGCTATGATAGTGCTTAGCCAATGAATGATTAGTATTTGTTATGAATATAATTAGACCCATAACCGATAAAAAGACGTTAATAGTGATATTTCCAAGCATTAAGGGGGGGGGGCTGTCCGAAAATTTATATTCTGAAATGTTAATGCTATTGAATTGAAAATAGTACAAATAGTTGGGAAATGTAATAAACAAGGTTGTCTGTGATATCACCTCGTTGAAGTGGACGTAAAATACAACTAATACACACACAATAAACATGGGAAAACTAGCATTAAAGAAAAATTGTTGCCAGGGTAACACATTTTTGGGGAAAAAATTATGAAAAACGTAGGTACACTATATCTCTGTAACTAATTAAGATATCTTTTGCAGGATATAAAAACTAATATCTACCACAGAATCAGACAGAATGCAATTTGAATTATCATTAATATTTCAAAAGTTATCAAAATATTTTTCCAAAGACAAAATATTGTAGTGAGGCAAATGTTTTAAACATCATTTTCCAAGAAACTATAAAAAATATAGAGAAAAACTCGCTGTCTTGTTTTGGGGTTATCATTAAAGAATAAGCAGTCCAAAAATGAGACATTTATCTTTTATTAGTGCCAGAGATATGGTGTACACCCTTTTTTCATACTTTTTCCAAAAAATTGTGTCACCCTGGCAAATGTTAGTTTTCCCTTGTTTATTACATTTCCTAACTACTTGTGCCATCTTCAATTCACTAGCTTTAGAATTTCAGAAAGCATTTTTCGGGTAGCCTCACCCCTTAATCAATATTCTTAACCCTTTCTGTGCAAAATGTCAATATTTGTTTTTCTCTATAGTACTAGGCATTGAAAATTTTTGACATTAAAGTTTTCCACCCAGCTCACCCTGTCGAGAGAGAGAGAGTAACTTTAATAATAGATGTTGTTTGTAAGTTTGACTTTTGTTGTAGAAATTTAAATTTGTACCTTGCTTGTAAAGAAATTGTGTTCACACTCGCTTTCATTTAAAGCCATTGATCTTCATTTGAATGATTTTGAATCCCATCCAAACTACTATACAGTGACAGTTGAATTTTTAAGACTTTACATATATCATTCAAATCATCTCCTGAACTGTAAATATTCTCATACCCATTCTATGGGATTGGTAACATGCAATAAAAATGCATGATATAAATGAAATGGGTTTAACATCCTACTGTTCTGCTCCGACTGGGCTAATGAAGACGGGCATGGTATACATCAACATCATCACGCGACTTATCTAGAAGTGATTCATGCAAGAGGCAGGGTAGGCCTATATTTACACTTTAGAACACCTGATACCATTTCTATTTGGGGGGTTGGATAGCTGAATGGTTAGCACGTGCGCGCTGTATCATAAAGTCTGTCATTGAGTTAACTGGCGTGGTTTCGATTCCCCGGTTGCATGTGACAAGGAGTAGGGTCGCCTGTCCAACCTCGTGGGTTTTCTCCGGGTCCTCCGGTTTCCTCCCACTGCTAAAGACCCCTACGCGCAAGCTATTATGGAAATAAAATTGAACTATGTTAGTCCCGAAATGACCTAGTTTGTGTTGAGTGGAGGTTAAATCCCATTTCTCTCTCTCTCCATTTCTATTTTGAGTATGCTTAAGGATTGAATACTGACTTTTGACACAGTTTATGGTGAATTGAACCATGTTAGCTACCAACTGATTCTCCGGGGTCCTCCGGTTTCCTCCCACTGCTAAAGACCCCTACGCGCAAGCGAATTATTGAAATAGAATTAAACCATATGTTAGTCCCGAAATGACCTAGTTTGTGTCGAGTGGACGTTAAACCCCATTTCTCTCTCTCTCTAGCTACCAACTGAAGGTTATACAGTTGGACATTGAACCCCATTTCATTTCATTTCTCTCTTTATATGGAGGCATAAATAAGTGTACAAACCACCAAACGTTTCATCCTGTATATCATGTAATTATTTCCTGTTACCCTGTTTGTAAATAAACAGATGTATTTTCATCTTTTCTTATTGTTTTTCTTGTTTTTCACCCACAAGGTTGAGAAGGCAGCCCTATTGTAGTACTACCGACTTCTTTATTTGTTGTGTTTGTGATCGTAAATAACACTACAGTAATACTAATTTCCCAACTTTATTACTAAGTTGTACTGGCTTTTCAGGTTCCTCGTTCTCAATGGTAATGACTGGTAAGAATTTCTGGGTGAGCTCTAATCTAGCTCTCCTCTACACCCTAATTTATACCCCCTACTTTTTCCAGGTCTTCAATAACCTTGACGTGAATTTCCACGCCATATAAGGAATAAAACTCTTTATTTCCCACTAGGATAGGAAACATTACCTATTTTTGGTCAACCGACCACAGGTCAATAAACAGCTAGAATTTGATGACTATTTTGACAATGATTATAATTTAACTAAAACATCACTGTTTTTTACGAACAACTATATCCATGTTCATTTAGTACTTGTGATTTGACTTTATAGACAAAATTGAAGAGACAATTTTATAAAGAGCCAAAATTGTCTCAAGGGCCAAAGTGCTACACTATCTCTAAGCCACATACGCTCACTCCAAGGATCAAGACTTGTCCGCAAGCCAGAGGTGAATGGCTAGCCAGAGCTCGAAGCTCGACACTCTAGACCACTAGGCCATCCCACCCCCCACCCCCCCCCCCGTCTGTTCATCCAACTTTTCATTAAATTCCTAAGGATTGTTCATTTGGTGGTGAGAAAGAACCCTTGACCACAAGATACAGGACAAAGTTAACGTTCTTGATGGAATGTTGTTCATTTGTGAATAGCAGGACGGGGGACCTGACAAGGATGGCTGTCTAGTCATTCGGATGGGACCATAATCGTGGTCCCCTTTGTACACATTGGTGTGCACATGAGAGAACCCTTGACAGTTGGAATTTGATATAAGAGTAGGCTGTAGTGCAGAAAAATAGGAATTAAACCTTTTTTCATTTCATTTCATTTGAGTTATCCTAGGATTAATACACAAAAACATTCTGGATGGAATTTACTAAAGCTGAAAGGGATGTTCATACAGGGATATCCTATAAACTATTTTGGATAGTATATTATGTGATGCAAGGCAGAGTTCTAACTAGCAGAGAGTAGGATTATAGTATTGGCAGGTGCGTAAATGTGGGGGGGGGGGGAGAGAGAGAGATCGTCTGTCTCAAAATAAGTGCGGTCACTGCAGTCGGTCTCAAAATTAGGCATCGGAGACTAAATGAATTAATGAGTAAACAAGGCCAGAATAGACGGAAAAAATCCCTAACACGATGAACATATCTGTGTATGATTGCTTTAGGATATAACAATACGTGCCAGTTTTTTTCATAGCTCAAATTAGTAAAAACTGTTATGCGTTCAGTAATGAAACAGAAAAGCCTCAATGAACTATTAACTCTTGCGTGTGAGCGTGACCGGCCGGCACGATGGATCTGACAAAATCACCGATCGGTGCCCAAACTTGACTAAGCGCTGACGCTTGATGAAAAATATGAGGACAGTCATATCTTTGCTAATTTATGCATATTCACCACAACAATATATCGAAGATATAGATCTATGTAAATGGTGTAATTATTATCACTTTCAGAAGTTATCACAGATTCACAGTAATCGGTTCTTGCAAAATTCTTAATAATTAAATAAATAACATGAATTCCCATATATATAGTCAGTCTCATTTTTGTTACCCCCGCCACCCTCAAAACAAAATCGATAGGTACGCCCCTGATGAATTGCATACGTACATCGAGATCACCCCACAAAACTCAACGACTTATGGTTAGACACTATAATCAATGACATATTTATGAATAGCCCCATACGGACGAAAAGTACTTAAATGTTAAAATGTTATTAAACAGTGTTGAAATCAGTTTGTGTCGGCATACCTTTTATCTTTTCAACGTTTACCGTGAAACAAAGCCAGCTTTACGTTTGTGCTAATATTTCCGGAAATAGAGTGTGTGTGGTTTAATAGTCGATAAACAACACGAGTGCCGTAGTCACGACAATGAATGTCTTAAGCTCGAGACCATTAAACAACTTAAAATACAGACATTCGCACGTGTATGGTGGCCCATGGTCGCAATAGCGTTTTTTGGGTTATTTTTGGTATTTCATTTAAAATAAAAATATTAGTACAAAAAAAAAAAAAAAATAATCTTTTAAAATTTAAAAAAAAAATTAAAAAAAAAAAAATCTTTTTAAAAAATTAAAAAAAAAAATCTGTTTAAAACTTAAAAAAAAAAAAATCTTTTTAAAATGAAAAAAAAAAAATCTATATATATATATATATATAAAAAAAAATAATAAAATATATTTTAAAAAAAATAAAAAATAAATAATATTAAAAAAAAAAATTAAATGAAAAAAAAAAAAAAAAATTGAAAAAGAAAAGATAAAAAATAATTCCCGACGTGGCCCATCGTCGCAATAGTGTCTTGAGTATCCAGACCCAGTATACAGCTATCATTAGACTAGAGCGACCAGAAACATTTTGTGGCCCATTGTTGTAGTAGTATCTCGATTATTATGTGTGGGATCTATGAAGAACGTATAAACTCGAACGACAAGAAACGAGTCTGTAGTTATCTCACGTCAACATAATTGTAGATACTTCAATTTTGATTAGCTAAGCACTAAAATAAATCTAATATTATCTATTATCCAATCAAATACTAAAATTTGAATTTTATCTTAGTAAAACAGGCCCCAGACGAAGTCCACGTAGGCTATCATGCTCTATTATGTCTTTTAAATTGATGTTGTCCGCCATCGCACTTTCGCACCTCTTACCCGTTCCTGTGGTCGTAGCAAGGGACTAGCGATGACCTCAGGGAGAGCAGGGGTTTCACAAAAACTGAAGCTAAAATCACTAACATAGATTTTAAAATCAAAGTGAAATTTTAAATTTATGCGTTTCACGAAGATCGGTTGTAACTTAAAATTTAATTTTAATAGATTTTAGTTAAAACTACTTGTGCCTTGATGTGAGGTAACTATAGACTGGTTTCTTGTCGCTCGAGTCTATACCATACGTTCTTCATAGATCCCACACAGGATAATCTGAACGACAGACCCACGATGTTTGACAGGTCACCCTACTCCTTGTCACGTACAACCGGGGATTCGAAATCACGCCAGTTGACTCAATGACGGGCTTTATGATATGACAGGCTTTATGATACAGCGCGCACGTGCTTACCATTCGCCCCCCCCCCCCCGGCTACTTAGTAGTAGTAGGCCTATACTTCGAGGATTAGTTTCAAAGTTGTTAACTACTTTTGAAATTCGACCTCAGGGAGACCAAGTGTTTTAAAAACATTACATAAGCCTTTTTAGGGGAGAATAGGCCTTGCGCACTAGTAGGCCGAATGGTGTCATTAAAGTCAATGACTTCAAACGTCATTATGTATGTAGGCCTAGTTCTAGTTAGACTGGATAAACTAGTCTAAATGACGCTAGGCTTCTATAGTCTATTAATTATACATTTCTATTGACATGCATATGTATAAATACATATATCCAAGTCCATAGACGTCATGGGTGGAAAAATTGTGTTTCACGTGTTGATGTCTGTTAACCTTTTTCCTTTCGGAAGGGGAGATAACTACAAACTCGTTTCTTGTCGCTCGAGTTATGCCACATAGGATAATCGAGCCACTATAGCAATGGGCCACGAGGTATTTCTGGTTACTCGAGTCGAATGATAGCTGTCGTAGGCTGATTTTATACTGAGTCTGGATAATCAAGACACTATTACGACGATGGACCACGTGCAGAATTCTTTTTTTGATTTTTTCTATTTCACTTATTTTTTTTTTTAATTAAAATGTTATTTTTTTTATAGATTTTTTAAATCTTAAATATTTTATTAAATCTTTTATATAGATTTTTTTTTATTTTAAAAAGATTTTTTTTTTTCTTAAATTTTAAAAAGATTTTTTTTTCTTTTTAATTTAAAAAGATTTTTTTTTTCTTTTTAATTTAAAAAGATTTTTTTTTTCTTAAATTTTAAAAAGATTTTTTTTTTATTTTGTAAAACAAAAGAAAAAAAAATGTTTTGTTTTTTTTCTTTTATTTTTTATGATTTTAAATGAAATACAAAAAATAACCCCAAAAACGCTATTGCGACCATGGGCCACCATACACGTGCTTTGCAATAAAATGCGTCAAACAGGTCCAAAATTTTAACTAGTATAAATAATGTACGCTTGGCACATTGCTCGCACCATTATTTGAAATAATGATACGCCAATATCAAAGGATGACGTCACATCTGTATTTTAAAGAGTGATAGATATCTTGTAGTGAACTTCCAATACACGATATTTGGACAGGTTGATTTCATTAAGATTATTTACATATGAAGGAGTAATTATAAAAAAAAGGTAAAAACATTAAAAAGTTATTGCGTATTATATATATAAAAGTCACTTTAAAAAAAAAGTCTTAAAATACGCTGTAGTGAGAACAGAAGGCTAGGCGGGTCATCTTCTCCCTTCGTCTTCGTCATAATAAAGTCAATCCGGATAGAAAGAAAAAAAAAACGTGGGGAAAAAGAATACCATGTTATTTTTTATCTGACCAGTCGGGTGTATGAGAGTACACAACTTTTGACCAGTGTTTTAATAGGCCTGCGTCAAGGCCGAAAAGTAGCCTACGTTTTAGCTCATTTTTCGTCTACAGCTTTACGGAAATATCACATTTTTAAAAATTGTTACCGAGTCCCATTCGTATATCTGCTGTACTGGTCGTTACAAATTCTTACGAATACTTCAAATCATTTTAGTGTGTTTGTATAATGTCTTCGTCACCCGGGTGTAAACAATAACCTATTACCATTAATATTGTATACCAATGGATTGGCATTTGGTTGACTCAACTGGTCAAATAATAGCATTAAGGCCATTTATGGGAGTAAGAAAATCTCCATGACTGGCTCATAATTGTCTGCAGTAATAGAAGGCTTGATCTTACTTTAACCCCATATATCTTATCTACCGGTATGCTGTAAAGCTCGCGGTCGTTGCTTCAGGAGCATGGGCCTACACGTACAACTCGGGTCTTATTTTAGGTCGAAGTCACAGATAACTATTTTCGTTATTTTCAATTTTAACGGGATATTGTTCATAATCTGGGGCAGATATATAATTAAAACTATGAATATGGCGAATCTCAAATTTTAAATATGTACATAGCCTTTTTGTACATAATAAACAAAGAACGATATTATGACATACGGCCTTAGTACTCAACGAAAGTCATTTGGGGTGGAGAGTGGGGGGTCTAAAAAACATAATTTCTGTAACGCAAACGGCTAATTGAACTATAATAGTTTTCACTGGATTCATAAACTCAATAAAAATAGGTAATGAAACAATTTTAAACAAATTAGTGCACTGATTGAAGTTATTGAGTAAAGCCTGCTTTTCGAATAAGTCATACTTACTGCAGATGTTTTTTGAGATTGGACTAAAAGAGTGTTTTTTCAGTCATGGCCGAGGTGTCTATAATTTGCATATTCTATATTATGCAATATAACTGTGCTGTTCTTTTAGTGCTTTTCAGCACCATTGACCCTGTAATTATGGGTGTATAGCTACTGGTTTCATGGAGCTAAGTCAAAGAGTTTCAGATTTAGGGGGGGGGGGGAATAAGTTTTTCACTAATGGCGGCTGTTAATTTGCATATTGTGCATCAGGTAATTATGTGATTATATTCTAAATGTGTTTATTTGTGTCCCTGGCCACGATACATGGGTTTGGATACAATTTCTACCAAATTTGAACATTTGATAGCCAAATTATAGCATTAAATCAATTTTTGAAACATAAAATTATGCTAATTAGCATATTACGCAATTTAACCCCTTTCCACCAAAAATATTGTGAAACATTTTTAGTATGATGTGCAGTAGACCTTACGGAAATGCATACCACCAAAAGAAATTCTGTTGCAATTTGTTTTGGGTTGGGCCCTTTTTTCAGCTAGATTGACTGGACTATTATTCATAACCATCTTTTCATAAATTGGTAAAGTTAAATAACTTGTTTGTGTATATTTTTTGTAACATACGACTAGGAGAGCGGTGATACATAAGCCTATTCTTCGATCCTTTTCTGAGAATAAAATATTATTTCTAAAAAATAAAGAAGATATTATGTAATTATTTTAAATTAAATTTCCGTCTTCAATATGATATTGTTATTCGAAATGATTAATGGGGTTAAGTTAACCGTCTTATTTAATTGCACGAAGTATAGCTAATGAAGACGGGCGTTCGCCAAACAGTGTGCTACGGCCTCTTGCCCAGGCTCTCGGTCCAGCACCACTGACAAGGACATGAATGAATGAAATGGAGTTATAGCGTCTCATTTTTTCTTTGCACCAGTACGGGACTAATGAAGACGGGCATACGCCATATTATAGTGATACGAGGGAAACTTTGGCAGGACAGCAATTGAATGCCAACTGTCAATATGGTTCTTTTATGTGCACATCAACGTGTAAAACGGGACCTCGGTTTTTCGTACCATCGAACGACATGCGCCGGCATTGTCGGGCGCTTGGTCACGCATCACTTGACAAGGGGACCACGCCGGAACATTCCAAGGAACTTTCTCGGCCAAAATAGAGATCGAAAACGTGGGACCTTCTGGTTAGCGAACCAGCGCTGAGCAACGGTGGCTATAAGATATGGTTGTTCGGTTGTATTGTTGAACAAAGGAACCCCCTTTTACGGTGATAAGCCATAACTTTAGGCTTAAAGTAAATTTTATGATATTGTTAATCGGCTATATTGCTGAACAAAAGGACTCCTTTGTTCGGTGTAAAAGACATAGCTATACAATCAATTAAGAATGGTCAATAAAATTGCTGTGGTTGACAATTCTACTGAAAGGGTTATTTAAAATATTTATCGGTCTTATTGTTTTCTGGATGAATTAATTATGGTCAGAATATGATCTTATCCTTCGATTCGTCTGAATGTTCATGTCTTAAATGTATAATGTACTTAAAACACAAAAAATCCCTTTTCTGTTCCCGAAGTGTTTATAAACGATATTAAATATGCATTATGTAAATCTGCTCACTGGAGCTCTTTTTCTGGCTTCAAATCTTATGAATTATTATCTAGACATTTATTTATATATTCACATGACAATTCTCTAGACCATTGTAGGTCCGTAACTAGAGGGGGCACGGGAATTGTCGACCATATAGATACATTGTCCGTCAATTTTACAGCACCCCTGAGAACACTCCCCCTCATCCCACCCCCGTTACTCTGAGCTAGTTACGGCCCTAGACCAGCTGGTGGCTTAGATAATTGAGTGGATTAGACGGTGCCCCGACCTACATTATTAATATGGACGACAATGAAGGACAGAAAATCAAGACCTGGCAATGGTCCTTGCCGAAGAAAATTTAGGCTAATTGTTACTTACAGATTTTAACGGAACGAACATAAGAAATAGTACACCAATTTAAATGAGCTAAACCTCTCTGAATATTATTCATACTATTGGAAATTAAAACACAATTATATTAATTAGAATAAAATATTATTGGTCTATTTCAATCAATATTGGTATTATCCGTGAAAATATGAGACCCTAGTATCTAATATTTAAGAAACAGTTAACATTTTTAAATCACTACAGGACTCGTGTATTCTATATGGACATACATGTGATGGTTTCGAGCGTCATTTGTAATGATCAAAGAAAACCATAACCCAGAAGTCAATGCGGAAGTAATCATAAATGCCTGAATCACTGATTCACAAAACGACAAATTAAAAAAGTGTAGAATGGATTGAGCAGGCGCAAACGACTGTCTATTTCAACGAAAATAATTGATTACAAATTACATAGAAATTTTTAACAATTCGATATACATATAACTCATATTACATTAATGGGTGGTTTTTAAGGTTAAAAAAATTGAAGTACTGGTATTCGCCCTTTAAAGATTTAACTTATTAAAGTTATTATGAATTTATTTCGAATAAAGTCCCTGTTATTTAAAGCCCAAATAGAATAAAAGTTACACCCAAACGTAGTCTACTTTTATTTAAAAGATTTGGGTCAAGTAATTATTATTCAGATCATCATTGTTTTTACGTTTAACTATATTATATTATTAGCATAGAAATAGATACTGACTATGTATTTCTATGATAATTAGTAAAGTTTTATTTACTTCAGTTCTGTGTATGACCTGGCTTATTTAATATTTTAAAATAAAAGTTCGCCTTGGCTTAATTATTAGGCCCTATCTATGGGCTATATTTTTCGAAGCTGAAATTAGTGAAATCCATTTATTTAAAACAAAAAATACAAATAGACCCTATATCCTCCAAAACAGTCGTTTAATCTTCATTTGTATTGCTTTTAAGGTGAGGCCATCACTCAAAGTCAATTAATACTCGATAATCCGATCAGCTGTGCCAGTACGGCTCCTCAGCAGAGGCGATCAATTTATTAACCCCCCACTGTCAATTACATCTGATAAACATTAAACAGACTACAATCAAAGTAGGAGTTTATTTCGCAATACGCTGTTCTTTTCTTGTCACGATATTCACAATGTATTATTTTTATAAACATTTTATAATGTTTTATTGAAAATTAGAATTGAAATAGTATTTTTAGCTAGTACGCCGTGCGGTAACCAAGTACTAACAAATAACTTTGATTAGAAATAAAATCTTATCTGCAAATAACTTAGTAAATTAAGAAATGGGTGAACAAAAACTCCACTCAATAATAAATCTTTTATTGACATTGTTTAACTACGATACCGCATGCCTTCATGCTCAATCTTGTCGTGTCAAATTGTTCAGTTGTCAAGCACGCCACATTACTACATTTTGGCTTCGGCCATCTTGAATTAATTCTCGTGCTCTGGGACAACTCACTACCTTAAGGTTTGGCATGTCAACGCGCATTCCGAGATATCAATTAGTTCATGAAGTTAATAAATAAATAAAGAAATGTGGGGATGGTATTTTCGAGACAAGTAATCAACAATAATTGTACACATATAGAAAATATGAATATTCTATTTTATTGTGGATATCACTTTGGTTAGTCGATTTTAACAGCTAAATAGTGCAGACGTTGAAGCGGATGAATATGGTTTGTGCTGACGCGATGAGTCTGGCAACAGTTGCCGTAGGAATAAACGCCATAGCCACCGTAGCTGTGACGACTGTTACCCACCAACAGAACTAAGGTGATTTTTCTTTTCGATTTGATTAGATGAAGATATCAACTAGTAGAGTTGATATTGTAGGCAACATAGTTGCTATTTTCAAGTGAAATAACACACTCAAATATGGAGTATTTGGATGAATTTATAAAGTATGTTATCCATCATTGTTGTATAAAAATGGCGAAGATTTGCGGCGTTTTCTTTTGATCGGTGCGGGTCTGGTCTCGCGGTAAATTTAAAATAGTAAACATTGTCACGAGTTTATAATTGCCAATTTTAAGTTAGATATATATTGATAGAACTATCAAAAATAAAGGATTATTATTTCATGTCCTGATTATTTTATACTGACAATTCTTATTTATTTTTGTAAATAAGTCACAAAAGTAGGTCAAGATTTCGACTTTGTTTTCATCTATGACGACATGACTTCATTCACGTCACATTGATATTGCCCATTCATCGTCATGTCTTTTTGTTTCATCACCATCAAAATTATAAATATTATTTTTATCCAAAAATATGGACTGAAACGAAACAAGTTATTTAGATTTTTAGACCTTATTAAAGTTATTTAATATTAATATTATTCATTGTTTTTTTATAGCTTTAATCTTTAAGTTTGTTACCTGTTTTTAGGGTGACCCACCATAAATAAATATCTCCAAATATCTTGACAATTACGCCACAATATTTATATATATGCCAAGCCTCAAATCAGTTTCACACAATTATAGTCACTAAATAAACAATCATGTTGTACTTAATAAGCTATGACCATTAATCATCTATAAATAATAGACTGAAAACTGGTTCCAAGTGTCGTCCATAACATCCAGACACTTTTGAGTAAAAGATAGGTTACGTGCTCTTGTTTTTAAATTAGTCTCGCTTAACCAGTCTGTCGACCATTCTACGTCTGATTGACAGGTCGGGATAATCAAGACTACTTTTTTACGAAACATAACAGAAAGCTAGAACAAGAAATTGAATTTAGAAATAAGCACTTTAGCCAACTCAACAATTGTTTTTTTACAAATTTGTAAAAGTAAAATGAAACTACTGCTAGTATCATGTTCCTGCTAAAGAAAGTGATTCAGAGATAGTATTTGTACTAAAACAAAAGATGCCGCTCTTAACGGTACAGTTAATGATAAAGCAATTTAAAAAATAAAACAAACGTAATTTCTAAAGCTGCTGTAATAACCAAGAAGCTAAATTTTACTGCTATTCAAAATCGTCAACAATAGATTTGTTATGGCTGTAATAGTTGATATATTTGTAAAGAATTGCACGTGCCATGGCTATTTATCGACTCAAAGAGAGTGCGGGGTAGTCAGAAATCAGTTCGAGACACGCAACTGAAGCGTGCACATTTAGCCGTGTCGAGACCAACTTTCTGTAGAGTGCACGGGTCACCCTACTGTTTTAGTTTTTGATTACAAAAAAATATAAGCTTTTTTTAAGTCCGCTTACATAATTATGTACATCTATTCTTCGACTGAGTAAATAAGACTTTGATTGCTCCATATATAATATATGGATTACTCAGACTAATCTATTCTGATGTAAGCCAGATACTGAACTATAATTAATAAACAAGTCAAATTCTGCTTAATCATTTGAAACAGAAATTTAATCACAAATCCATGAATATCACATCCTAAATTTCAATGCTTTATTTTGACATTTTAAGAGATTTTTATCCAAATAAATGCAGTGAGTGGATTCTATTAACTTTATTTTATTAGTATTATTGCCTTTCTGGAAATGCCAAATATAAATATATTTAGTGGGCCTGTCTGTATACAATAATACAATCATTTTGATGTGGAAAGGTTGCAAACATGAAGCCGAATTAATTTGATGCTTTCATAGAACTGACACAATTTTCTATTTACTAATATTCTTGCAATGAAAAATCAATGTTATCCTAAATTTAGCCTATAAAATGTCTTTTCTTGTTTGCTGATGATAAAACATGTGATGGCTTGCTGTGTTCAGAAACCAGTGTAGACTAAAGTCCTGATGTTGTGTTAATTTATAATACAAACTGTTAAGTGTTACGGCCGGGTCGTGTCAGCACATTTCGGTGTTATTGTGTGCTTGCAGCTCTTAAATATAATGTCCCCCTGCTCATCGTTCAACATGTGTCTGTTGACTGGAAATGGTCACACAATTTATCATGCAATTATTGCAATTTATTGTTCAGTAAATTTGAAATGCAGTGGTTGAGTCGGTGTTCTTGAGCCAGGAATAAAATTGGGGTCCATCCTAATTTCAGAATCAACATTTGCCTCTGCATTGACTTGGCTTTTGCGTGTGCAGTTCATGTATACACTTTTCTTAACAGGCGACATAATTTTTAGTCTTAGTTATCCAGACTAGTGGCAATGAAATGTCTTGTTTAAAATCTGTCCATGATTTAATCTTATTAATGTATGGTAGTCCAAAACAAATTTCATGAATAGTCAATTGAAGCCACACCACTGTCAAGACCAGCCTTGAGCCTTCAGATATATTATTTCTCAAACTGGCGCTAGTACTAGAATGTTATTGTTCATGTCAACACCGATTGGGTGGTTGAATGGTTAAAAGTGTGCGCATTAGATCGAAAGGTCTGTATTTGAATCAAGTGGTGTGGTTTCGATTCTCTTCTTATACACTCTTATGTACCTGACAAGGAGGCCTTGTAGTCTTTCCTGTTCAACTTCGTGTGTTTTATCCAGGTCCTCTGGTTTCCTCCAACAGGTAAAAGCCGCTATGTGCAAGCAAATTATTGATATAAAATTGAACCATATGTTAGCCCTATCTAGTTTGTATCGAGTGGATGTTGAACCCCATTTCTTTCTTTCTCCCATTAAATTTAAAGTAACCAAAATGATTCTTTTATCCTTGCAGACCAATGATTAATGGCGACCCAGGCGTTTGTCACGGACCTGCAAGCCATGAACCCGGCTGCTGTACAGCAGGTTTGTGATGTTTTATTATAGCCTACCGTAATATATATTGTATTGGGATTGATTTATTACAGTACTGTTGTCTAGCTTACATATTAAACAATTTGATTTCTTACAATGTCGATTTTTAAAACCTTATTGAATTTGGTGTAGTGTAATAAAATTTGGATCAATTGCACAATGTTTTGATTGGAAAAAAACACATTGAAGTTCTTCAGAAGAGCGATATAGATCTGCATATATACTAAGCTATGCATTGATGTTACCTGATTATTAGCACTACATGTAAATGTAGATAAATGTCAAAGGCATCTTAACAGGATTAACACTTGGTGACAGTGAAGCAGATGTTAATGCTTGTTTTGAACTTCTTATCCAAGGAAGCAAACTCCTGACCATTGTTGGGGGTTGGATGGCCGAATGGTTGGCACGTGCGTGCTGTATCATAAGGTCTGTCATTGAGTCAGCTGGCGTGGTTTCGAATCCCCGGTTGTACGTGGCAAGGAGTAGGGTCGCCTGTCCAACCTCGTGGGGTTTCCCCGGGTCCTCTGGTTTCCTCCACTGCTAAAGACCCCTACGTGCAAGCGAATTATTGAAATAAAATTAAACCATATGTTAGTCCCGAAATGACCTAGTTTGTGTCGAGCGGACGTTAAACCCCATTTCTCTCTCTCTCCTGACCATTGTATTCAATTTGAGTTGGCTATTATAGTATTATTGTATGCTTGTAGCCCTGTCTGCTCTGTATCCTTATTTCAAGCTTATTTTGTTCTATAAAATATTTTATTCAGGCTTTGGGTTTAAATTTAACGGCCGATGGGGTAAGTTTGTGTGGTTTGCAGCGTATCTCAATTCTCATCTTTTTCTTTGTACACTCTTGAAAATAATCCAAGTAGCTACACCACTCTACGTTTTTAATAAAACAAATAATTTTATATTCTTAATCAATTTTAATTCTATTTTTATTAGCTATTTCTGTGTGAACTACTAAGACTAACATTGTTGATAATAATAGATTGCTTTTTTGTCTGAATTGTGAAATATGCCTAGCTACTCTCTATCCAGGAAGTCTAGGGTTCAATCCCAGTTCCTAGGGATTTTCAATGGCTGAGAATGTTCATCATGATTTTCCAGCTGGGTTTCTTCATGTCAGTGATCGTTCGGATGGTATGAAAAACTGAGGTCCTGTGTATACATGTACATGTACCATTGTCAGCATGTTAAAGATCTACTTATTGAAAAAAAATGTAAAATAGAGGTGGCATTGTGACATGGTTTGAGTACAATTTCCCTCATACTCATAGCACCATGCATGACATAATAATGTTGGTGCACAAAAGTAGGGAGATGAATTCAATTTCATTTACTTTAAAGTTGTTAAGACGCTAGCCAAATGTACTAATGATAAAAATTTAGTTTAGTTTTATAAAGTAATTAGGAACCTTTAATCTCCTCATTGCTTATTATTGTTACATAGTAATTTACATGTAGTATTCTTTATAGATAATACTAATAATAGACTTTTACAACTCACGAACATAGTGTGATAGACTGCACCATTGTTTAATTCACGGAATCTAAAACTATTACATTGTATGATCAGAGATTATCCTAATACAAATTGTATGATCAATAAAATAGAAATGTCTAGACACTAGTGTTGTACAGTTACATGTTCCATAGACTTCTGGTAATTAAATACTAAATCGATGAAGGGTACCCTCATTGAAACCCTGCAGTTAATTGACTTCTTAAATGATATCCATAAAGTTGTCTGTATACAGTATCTGGTCTGCATGTAATAAATTCTTGTTCTGATTCACCCAAGCCTGATGTACTTGAGTTCTGATGAGACCAAAGTATCTTCATAATTACAATAACTGTAGTAAACATGTGAAAAAAAAAAGAATGGATGCTTGCCAGTGCCCTTCTGCAAAGTAGTCAACATGGGGATAATATGTAGAAGTCTTCCAAAAATTAACTGTCTCCCTCCTAAACTCCTTGGGTGACTCATTGAGTAATGTGTGGGTGCACAGACCAGAAGGTACATGTACCTGTTTCTATCACGGTGTTGCTAGAGAAAGTTCCTCAAGATTTTTCAGCATGCTTTTTCCCTGCAACTGGTGCAGGAAGAGAGGAATGCCTGGCAGAGAGCAGTGATCTAGTTATTAGTATGGAATGAATCACTCATTATGGCCCGTTTACACATTGGCATGCATGTAAGACTCTTTTGACAGTTGCAAGTTGATAAGAGTTAGGTGGAAAACCGCAGACAAGGCAAAACTTTGCTCATAGAACACAGCATGATATATGCCCATCTTGATCAGCGAGGTAGGAGTAGAATGTTTAACCATATTACATTTGATTTTGTAATTTTCAGACCCTAGTTAAAACGACAAGTGGAGATCAACAGACGGTAACTGGTAATAAAACAACAACAATAATACAACCTGCTACAGCTCACACTGGAACACAACAATATATTGTTACTACCAGTAAGTCACTCATTAACTCTTAAAAACCCACGTCAGGCCACGAAGTTTCACGCGAACGATACCAATCGGTTACGTGCGGTCGTGCCACCTCAAAAACACGCGACCGATTTCCTGGTTACGCAAATTGAAATATCGATTACATTAACAAATTTCTTTAACAGATTTATTCACATTTGATCAATTTTTATACAGGATGACTTGTGACACAGGTCTAAATTATTTGTATTATAGCACAAACTCCATTCATTCATTCTTGGCATTTCATTCCTCCATCTTATCGGTACTTTAATCGATCACGTATTTTGACACCATGTAGGCTATTGACCAGTTGCAAGCAGGTTGATTTAAAAATGCCCCTCGCCCCTCATTCTTTAAATGATTAGTTATGCCATAAATATTTGAAAGCGTACCTTTGGATTTTCAAACACAAAATGAGAAATTAGTTTGACTATTTAACATGTCGGCTATATTTCCAAAGAATTTACTACACGTGTTCCTTTCAGTTTTCACTACAGCCATGCTGTAGTACCAATGACCCGTATGTATGTCGTCAACTTTGACCCCCTCCCCTGCATCGCTCCAGCGATAATCTAAACGATTTTACTGCCCTGTCTATTTTAATATTATTTCATGACATCAAACTATTCTGTTTCCTTTTGAGACTGTGTATAGAGTGCCGAGGTTTATAAATACTGTTTGTCAATCAGTCACTACCTATGAGTGAGGCTATCTCATGCTACGTGCTTGGATGAATGATTGCAAGTGACAAGTGTAATATGAAGTACGCATGTAGTCTTCAGTTTTTGAAGGTCAGATATGATACAAAAATGAAAATTCATTAGTAATTTTTAGAACCGATTCCCTCATTATTAAAATGTATAGGGATTTAGTGAAGTGGAACATTTTTTTTTCTAACGTTTTATTTTTTTAAATGGGGACACCGTGGGATTTAAGTCATAAACAGTTAACCTCAAAATATATAATATTAAATATAAAAGAATATAAATTAGTCAAGTTATTTCTTTAAAAAATACATTCACTGCAAGTGGAAATGAATAATAGCACCATTTAAATCTGGATAAAACATGAAAACAGCGCAACCATTTTATGTAACCAATATGTTACGCAATGGTCATCTGACGTAACCAAAGAAAATGGTTACGCAGAGCATAAAACCGCAACCATTTTTCTGGTTACGCCAAAATTTGAAATTTCGTGGCCTGCACGTCATAATGGTCAATAGTGGTAAAATATTGATATGCATTTTAAAGTCGTATCATTAAAAAACAACTGTAGATACACCCTTTATGGAAATGGATGAAATAATCCAAATTTAATGCCATTTTCATAAATATGAATTTTATACAAAAAAATCATGTATATAATGGTTATTTCTCTTTTTTTGTTCAGCTGTTGTGAACTAAAAATCATTTATCATGAATCTCTTTTAAGTAATTCAAATTGTCGTATAGGCCTAGACATATCACCTGTCAAACAGGAAGTAAACATGATAAAAAGCTGTCTGTTTATAAGGGAAGTAACTCTCATTAAGCTAATAACATTTCATTCGGCTAACTGGTTTTGTCGACAAAAGTTGCTATGGGTACTTGACGGTAATTTTATAGGTATCAACAAAAGACGCTGTGGGTCAGTTAAGAGTTAATTAAAGATGCATTATGTAAGATTTAGATAAAAAGCTGGCCGTTCTTGCTATAATATTAATAGTTCAAAAATAGATAATAAAAACTGAATATATTTTGAAGTGTCATCTAAATTACTGAGTGAAGTTATGAATGTTTGAAGATGTAGCATAGATTGTTTATCGTAGCAGTGGTACGTGACAATCCAGGCTAAGTTTTGATTATCCATTTTATCGTTAAATTGTTAAATCTCGCTGGTGTTTTAATCAATGTTTCGTATTATTTCAGCTTCTATGGGAGATGGTGTTGACCATGGACATGCTGGTGAAGCAATTACAATCAATCAAGGACAGACAGTTTATCCCGCTCACGTACAGTACGTAGACGGAACTGACTCGAGCCTCTACGCATCCTCAAATGGGCAAATGTATGATATTTTAGGCGGTAACATTTCTAGACGTGAAAAGTTGTGTTCGGCATGATTCACAGTTAAACATTGTCTTATATCCATGCTCTATTTATCAATTAACATACTGGCTACGAGTCGGAAGGGACCAAAATATTCCGCTATGGGTGGTATACATTTATCATATCCATTATTTTAGGGCCGAAAAGGTTCATCTGGATTTTCCAATCTGCCTTTACCTTGTCAATCATGCAGGATGGAGGCTCTAGCAAAATAAGAAGTATCCTGTGTTTCGGATGTGACAAGAAAAATGTCTCCAATCTGCCTTTACCTTGTCATTCGTGCAGAATGGAGGTTCTGGCAAGATAAGAAGCATCCAGAGTTTCGGATGTGACAAGAAAAACAATGTCGCCACGTGTATGCATTGACATCCATGTAAACGATCCCTTGACAGAACACGATGAAAAGTAGACAAAATTTTACCTCATTGGCCCTGTTGGTGCTGATAAGTAGGACGTTAATTTCGTTTATAAGTATAATGCTGCAGATTGGACATACATGTAGGATGTGTCAGGAATGTGCTGCACGATAACCCTGGTTTTTGTAGGGTTTTTTAGTTTACGTGACACAGATGGAGCCACATTTGCATTGTGATTAATATTCTGGCTCTCTAGGGGGTTGGGTGGCCAAATGGTTAGCATGTGCACGCTGTATCATACGGTCCGTCATTGAGGCACTGGCGTGGTTTTGATTCCCTGGTTGTACATGACAAGGAGTAGGGTCGCCTGTACAACCTCTTGACTTGGGGTTCCTCCGCTTTCCTCCCACTGCTAACGAACCTTACGGGCAAGCGAATTATTGAAATAAAATTGAATCCTGTGTTAGTCCCAAAATGACCTAGTTTGTGTCGAGTGGACGTTAAACCTCATTTCTCTCTCTGGCTCTCTAACTAGCAGGTTCCGTGTTTAATCCCAGTGTTGACAGAGAAAAGTCCTGTGTACATGTTGATGTGCACGAAAAAGAACCCTTCATATTGTGAATTTGATGAAGAGTTTTGCAATATTTGGCTCATAGCACACTGCATGGTGCATTAGCTCGGCTGGTACAGAAAAGTAGGATGTTAAACCAGATATTATTCCTATTTTCCCGTTAGCATAAAAAAAACAATCTTGAATATTTTTCCAATCCCAAGTCTAAAATACATTTCCCATTTTGGTTAACACCAATCAAAAGTACAGTTATAAAGGAACTTTCTTGTCCAAGATATTCTCGAAAAAATCAAGCCGTCAACCCCAAATATTGCTGGGTGTGCATATTCCTCAACATTAAAGCACTATATAAATGAGCATGGATATTTGACAATACACACTTGATATTTCTCACACGCTAATCTTTCGCTTCGTTCATTGCATTTTACGATCATAGAATCAAGAATCTTGTGTTGCACACATAGAAGCATTGACCATCAGTTATTTTTCCACGCATGATTCTGTTCTGTTTTGTTTGTTGTAGTAATTTGATGTTCTAATAATTTGCACACACAGAGTTTCTAGTGTTATTTCTAGCAGAAAGGCTTTCATCTGCCCTATTTGATGTGTGTCGATACACTTCAAGAGTTGCTATTTTAATTCTACAAGACTTCAGAGATTTATAATTCGAGTAGATCGATGACACTCCCTTATAAAGGGTAGCAAAGGCTGGACAAGTCTTTTAGTTCTGTGTAGCTGCTGGATCAGAAACTGATGCAGATGGAGAAGTGTAGACATGAATGGAAGATAGAGTAGTCCCCCCTGAATAGAAGTACAGTCTTGTGTAGAATAAATTTGGAGTTTTAATTCATAATGTTTCAGATCTATTTACTCTTGTCAAATGATGAATTAAGCTCGAAGTTTCTTTTACATTAATCTGTCGTACAGCTGTTCACCACAGACTGCTCTTGTCATCACTTCAGAGATTTAGCATTTCTCTCATAATTAAAAAAAAAAAATGTTAAAACCTTTGATTGTTGATATCGAACACCAATTACCAAAATCAGGAGTTTAATGGAACAAGTGTTAGAATTAATCAGGGGGATTGACGTGTTTGTGTTGGATCAAAATAATGGATTAGATGATTAGAATTAATTGTTATTAGTGGTATAAATCTTCCTCAGTCTTGTTGGATTTTAAAGAAACTTTTAAAGTGTGTTTAACAGTTTTATTTAGAATACTAATATATAAATAGAGATTTGTCTGGATATAATATTTGTAAAATTACTGTTAGCTGGTATAAAGTAACTGTCTGCTGTTTTTCTTTGCACAGTATACATGTATAATGAGGCCAAGTCTGGACATAAACACATGTCACAGTTTTTTTATGTCCATGCTTGATAATGAGCACTGCTCTCTCATAATGCTATAAACATGTTTGTCAGTTTACATAATTTCCCGATGAGATAAATGTAAACTAGCAAGTTACTTCTAAATTTTTTGTTCAAAACAATCTTTGTAGACATTCCAAGTTTTAAACAATGCAGACAGTGTTTGATTTCACTGGACATTTTAACAGATATTTCGAAGTATTCATGAAATATAAATTAAAACTAGACAAATCTCTATATACACCATAGACTGTGAATAATTTGATAATTTATACCAGACAGTGTTAAATACATGTATTCCTGATTAATTGTATCAATTAATTCATTGCGAGTTGTCGCTGTCTGTTCAAAATTCTCACCCTTGCAGTGCACATGTAACCATACAAATAAACAATTAATGTATGTTATGACTTAAGTGTTGAGTCTTCAGGAGTCAATATATATCAGTCACAAATTGGAAAAGTATTATTAATATCATAAACCTGTTAATGAAAACATCCTGTTGGAATACATTATTTAATATTAATTTAATATCAGCCAGTTAAATATAAATCGCTCAAATCTTAATGGATAATTTTCTGTTTAAGATGATTTAAAGCCTATAAATTTTCACAAATCGCAGATGTAATTATATGAATGCTAAGATTTCAGCAAATAGATTCGAGTTCTTTGTATAACAAAGGTTTTTTAGCTTGGTTCTCTTTTAAGACTCTTTTGGAATTAATTGGTTACATGTTGCAGTTGGGAGAATCCTACACAATTCTTGAGAAAAATGATATTTTTAGGCCTAGTTTTGAGTTTTCGTGACTGTTGTTGACTAACTAATTATATTTATACTATTGTAGGCAGACATATCATCATGATTATGGACAAGGTACCATGTATACACCTGTCTCTGGAGCTTATTATCAACAATTACATGGCACACAGGTTAGTAACCCTTCATTTCATAGTATTACTGTTATCTAGTATATCAACGATAACAGTAAACATTTCAGCTTTGGTGATTGGTCGAGATAGTATTGTATTCGTGTCGACTTGATCCAGTTAACTCCTTTGTCATTGAGTCAAGTGGCATGGGTTTGATTCCCAGCTTGTACGTGACAAGGAGTTAGGTCGCCTGTCCAGCCTCCTTGGTTTTCTCTCTGCTTAAAGACCCCTACTTGCAAGTGAATTATTGAAATAAAATTGAACCATATGTCAAGCCTACATTGAACCACATTTCTCTCTCTGATATATAGATTGTCCATAGAACTGTAACCATGTTGTCCAATTATGTCAAGTTTGTTTCCAACCAATGCTATGTACAGCTAATAAGTATTGAAAACTAATGGAATTACATGTTACAATCAGTGTATTTTGATTATGTGAATACTTTGTGTCATTTTAAAGGTCTCCGGAATTGTGCCTGCTGGTTCAACAGTTCAAACAGTACAGGGACAGTTAATTCAACAATCTGGCGGAACTTATCTCATACAAGGGGGGACAATGGATGGGGAAGGAACCCCTCTCACACACACAACAAGAGCATCACCAGCAACGGTAAATATCTTAATAGTTTTGTTTGGTTTTTTTCCCGCATCCCTTGTTAAAGTAGAACTAACCATTAGTCTATTGTCCACTATTTAAATTATTCTCTGTTGGTAAATTTAAGGATATTATTGAATAAAGATAATTAATATTTAATTTATTAGTTCAGTTTTAAATATTTGAAATATGTTATTGTTATCAGATGAGTGTATTGTTTAAAGGACTAAGAGCCGATCAGTCGAAAAATATATTTGGTTTCATTGTATGAAAGTTGCTGATTGTTATTTGAAGGAGTTTGAATCGCTTGCAAACTACGACATTGTAAAAGTTGAATCTGAAAGGAATATCAGTATAAATTTGTTCAGGTCCCTTCAGTATTTACAAAGATATGGAATCAAATTGTCACGAAATTCAACGTTCTATAAATGTTGGTTAAATATTTTTGGGGCCTCACTTTATTTCCTATCAAGAATCTCAAAAAGATATTTCTTTTAAAAAGGAGGGGTTGAATGGTTAACGTGTGTCATAATGTTTGTCATTGAGTCGGTATGGTTTCGATTCCCGGTGTGTACCATGTTCCTGAAGCAACGACTGCGAGTTTTACAACATCTGGACGTTGCTAGGTTACTTTACAGTTCCCGAACTTATAGCTACATTATCTGCAGACACATGAACAGTAGCGTCCAACCAGAGGTTGTGACATAGCGACCTCCACGGAAACCTTGACATTGAACGAACCTTGAACTTTGCAACTCAATTATCACAGGTAGACATTTTAGCTGGAAAGCGCGAGACTTGGTATTCGCGATGATCAAGAAATCTGATAGGCTCCCAAGCAGGGTGAGTACCCAATCGAAATTAGTGCCGAAAAATATGCAGGGTATTATGTGAATGTCTTGATACAGAGTTAAAGCGAGATCAAGCCTTCTATTGAAGATGCGGTTGTACATGACAAAGAGTAGAGTCGCCTGTCCAGCCTCCTGGGTTCTCTCCAGGTCCTTCCGGTTTCCTCCCACTGCTAAAGACCTCTACGTGCAAGCGATTTATTGAAATAAAATTGAACCATATGTTAGTCCTGAAATGACCTAGTTTGTGTCAAGTGGACGTTAACCCCATTTTTATCTCTTTTAAAAAAGATAATTTTCACAATTTTGTAGTTTGCAAGGTATTTTAAAATCATGAATTGACGGTCATAGACTGTCATAATGTCGGCTCACAATCTGATTAAAATACAGATCTATATTTTGTTTTGTTTCTTTATACTTTCGATGGCCTACACTACATGAAGATCTGACAGTTGTACTCGTAGGTCGTGTCAGGGGTGTTGTACAAGAGGCTTTTGACCCTATGACATCAGACATTGATTAATCAATCAGCGTTGGCATTTCTAGTGGTTTACCCACAGTTCTGTGCATGGCATGCCAAGAAGTCGTCGTAACAGACTGTTCATTGCTTAATTCCTCACATTATCTAGAACGGCTGTTATATAACAACTCTTCCAGATCCTAGTGTAGTAAAGTCAATTAAAACGAAATTTTGAACTTTAAAAAAACGAAACGAAATAGGATCTGTGTTTTAATCAGATTGGTTGGCTCATGGTCCTTTCAATCAAAATTTGTAGTTAATAGTTGCGGTAATGATGGAAAAAAATGTGTGGTTTTGGTTTCTAGTGCACAGAAAGATGAAAAACTTGCCTGTATACATGTCCTTCTGCAGGATTAGGAAGACCTAACCATTATAGTTTTTAAGTAGATTATGACATCTTATATAAAATGGATAGAAACGTATGTCAGATTTCTACACATTATAAGAGGGAAAGGTTTTATCATCTTTTCAACTCGATACCTTTGTCATTTTGAGACCAACATACTTTTTATCTGTGTGTATGTGTTTCAAGGGATGGGAATATGGCCTGGACAGTGGATTTCTTTCCACTTTTCTTTAAATTCCAACTGCCAAGGAATCTTTCACGTGCACTAACAAATTGTAAATGTGTCATGTCTGAATGACTGGATACATGTTTCTTACATGTAGTTGGCATGTTGAAATGTTATAAAGACAAAGGTTTGCATGATGATAATTTAAGTTTGATCCTAATTTACAGCATGTACAAAGCTTGTAATGATTTGTAATAAGAAATTAAGTTGGAAGTACTACTATTGGGTCCAACTATTTTGTTGTAATTTAATGAAGTCCATAATAGGACTTCTTTATCATAAGGCTAAATGAAGCAAACTACTGTTAATGACCAAAAAGGGCATGTGATTGTGAAAGTTTCAAAAAGAAAATTAGTTAGTCCCGATCTTGAAATGATGAATATAGTTTTACCTTACCTGACAAACTGTCCTGCACATTTGAGCTAGTACCTGATATGTTTGACTTTGTACTACAGCAGGACATGTATTAAAGATATCAATAAAAAATATGTGGCGGAGAAAATGATTTTACCAAAGGAACTGTGCCACACAAAGCCTGAATTTGTACTTGACAATATCTGTGATACACGCAGGTGTAGAATTTCATGGCGAACTGTCTGACAATCCTTAATTTGTCTTATGACTGTGACAGATGCCTTATTTCCTTCCTTGATTTATTTGTTGAGAAAACCAGAAATGTGTGTTTCAAAGGATGGAAATTTGGCCTGGACAATGGAACTGTGCCACACAAAGCCTGAATTTGTGTCCGACAATATCTGTGATAAACGAGGTGCTGTTTTTTATGGGGAACTGTCTCTACATCCTAAACATGTGATTTAAAGGGCAAACATTATTTATTATTTGAGAAAACCAGAACCACAGATCTTTTTCCAAACCACAAGTTTTAAAAGATATTTAAGTTAAATGTACTTAGGTACAGGATCACGCAATCACCAGTTGTTAATGATTTAAATCTCATCACAGCCATCTTGTTATATCATCTGTCTCTTTGCCCTTCTTTGTGTCGTCTACTAGATGTTTAGTTGTTTAGTTAAAATATAATACAATGCTTATTTGACAAGAATGTGCATGCTATATTTGTGACCTTTGACCTCACAAACTCTTGTAATAACAATAACACATCTAAATGATATTTTTTTTTGTTTTTGTTTTGTGTGTCAAAATTCACTTTGAATTGATTTGAAAATTGAACGTGTACTTGTTATATATAAATTATAATTGTTCCAAGATATCATATTGTCAAAAAAATTAATTCTTGCACATTTTCACTACACATTAGTTTCCGAATGAAGGCAGCTTGGAACCCTCAGTGAACGGTCATCTGGATTTTGCGTGTTCCCCAGGTACTTCAGTACATGTAGGTGTCTATTTCTTCACTCGTTAAAATATCTACTTTATTTTTCTGATATTTTGTAGTTGGTTTACATTGCTCTTTATTGACGATTTCATATTTAAAAACATAGGGCAAAGTTCTCGACAAACTTCAAGATGTTTTAATTATACTATCATTTCATTAGCTGGTTAAATTACATGTATCACAGCGAATGAAACAGCAGTATTTTTAAGATAGCTGGAGTTTAGGTTTTCAAGGAACATTTCAAATAGGTCCTCCTTTTTCCTTGCAACCTAACATAGCTGCTTAATATTAGCTAATCATAGCCACATGCCCATCACTCTAGAAGAAAAATTCATAAAACATATAAGCGTTGCAAAGTCCTACGCTCATTTTTCTCTGCTTTTTTAAATTTATTCATCTCTATTAAACTTTTATCAAATAAAGAGCATTGTAATCTGAATTAAAGAATTAGTTTATTAAAAATTTAAATAATTATTTGTAATAAGAATAGAACTTTAACCAGCATCTGAATTATCAATTTATCAATTCTTTATTCTGCTATTCCATTTATTGATTATTTTGAAAATTTCTTTAAAACATTACCATTTTAAGATTGTTTGAATTTAAAATTTGATTTTTAAACTGCTTCATTGAGTGGATTTTTAAAATTTAATGGTATTTATGGGTAATTTTAGGAACTATTTTAATGATTTATATACATGCATGATTTTTGTTTTTTTGTTTTGTTTTTGGGCCATTAGGTCCAATGGTTGTTGGATAATTATGAGACTGCGGAAGGTGTCAGTCTACCAAGAAGTACTTTGTATTATCATTATTTGCGACATTGTCAAGAAACAAATTTGGATCCAATGAATCCTGCTTCGTTTGGTAAATTAATAAGATCAGTATTTCTAGGATTAAGAACGAGAAGATTAGGGACAAGGTGAGTTTGTTTATTCAGTGTTCACATCTGTTAGACATTCTTTTAAGAAAGACCCATTTCTACAAATTTTGGACCCAATTGCTTTGACAAATCTTGACATTCTAGAGGCTAAACTTGTCTACATGTAATTATTGATTTTCAGTGTTTTTTGATAAATTTAACAGCTTAAGTTATCAATTACCAGTTGTTTTGTTATCTCTCGGAAAACTAGAAGCCTTTCAAATTTTGAATTGTCTTGTTAATGTTTCTATTACCAACAATAAGATGAAAATATGTCGGCATTCATTGTCTGCTTAGAACACTTGTCTGCTGTGAGCTTATGTTTGTTGCGCTGCAGCCTATCTTTATTAAACATGCATTATGCAAGAGCTAAATCTAAAAGGGGGGTTGGATGGCTGAATGGTTAGCGTGTGCGCGCTGTATCATAAAGTCTGTCATTGAGTCGACTGGTGTGGTTTCGAATCCCCGGTTGTACGTGGCAAGGAGTAGGGTCGCCTGTCCAACCTCGTGGGTTTTCTCCAGTTTCCTCCCACTGCTAGAGACCCCTACGCACAAGCGAATTATGTAAATAAAATTAAAACCATATGTTAGTCCCGAAATGACCTAGTTTGTGTCAAGTGAACGTTAAACCCCATTTCTCTCTCTCTAAATCTAAAATCTGCCTATTGCAGGTCTTTCTTTAGGTCTGAAATGTTTTCTAAAGTATTAATTAGACATTAATTAACTGATCCAGGCCTTGATCAACTCTCGATGGCATCAGTTTTCCCCGATATTAAATAGATTAGAATGGTTCAGCGATACTTTGATTTAATCAAATATGGAGGACCGAGACTTGGCTTCAATCAACCAGTACGGTGGTTGAAATTATTGCACACGTCTGTCAAACCTTCAAAGGCTAATGTCTTCGCTTGCAATAGAGTAATTTGAATGAAATTTTCAAATTATTCATTTTACATATCTACTTTCGAACTATTATGGCAAGAATGGCTAGTTCTTTATCTAAATCTTACATAATGTATCTTTACGTTATTCAGAGAGTTTTGATTTGTTGTCTTTTTAGAAGTAAGTTTGGTTGTTGCAGCCTATCTTTATTATATTATTGATTTGTTGTATTTTTAGGGTTAATTCTAAGTAGCATTATGTTTTATCTTTATTATAATTGTATTTTTAGGGCCTATCATTAAGTTTGGTTGGTTATTATAATATTTGTATTTTTTAGGGGTAATTCTAAATATCATTATTATGGTATAAGAATAAAAGCTAGTTCACCTTTAAATCAGTATACAGATGATCAAACAATGGCAATGAGACAACAACCCATGTACCAATCTAAAAAGTAAGTATTCTGGTCAGAGATCTTGTTTCCGTTAACCTGACTGATAGACTCTGATCCTAATACAGTGCTATTACTAGATTACCATGAAGTCGTTAATGATTTGTTAGGCCCGTCTTCATTAGCCCAGTGGAGCAGAAAAGTAGGACGTTAAACCCCATTTCATTTATCACCAGAATCATCCGTTCATTATCAGAACTTAACAAATCTCTCTGGAAGCCATGCTTTTTTTCGAGAAGTACATGTAGTATAAAAAAAGTTGAATTTAAATATGTTGGATGTAATTTGCTGGAAATGTAAATATGGTGAATGTAATTTCAGACCCTCGAGTAAAGTGGACGGTGAAAGTGACACCAGTCAACCTGGAAGTAACAACCCAGGTTCAAATGAGCCCAGCCAATCACAACAACAACATCAACAGTTCCTAGGCGATGCCTCGCTAGCAATACCCAACTTTGATGAGATAGATGTCATTAATCAACCATTACCAGAGGGTATAACGATAAATGATGTCCGAATATTTGAACTTATGTACAGAGAACATGCTGAGGTAGGGTTCATTTTATGGTGTTGCAGTATGTCTATCCCGCTCTTTCGGCAACCTTTATTTTACGTTCCTATGTTCAGACAAGAACTGTTGGTTGCCTAGCACCACAAAATGAAATATAGGAGATCAGCCAACAATACAACTAGCCCGTTCTAACACCAACCTTCATTTTACGTCCAGATATTCAACAGTCAGACAAGAACTGTTGGTTGCCTAGCACTACAAGGTGGAATATTGGAATCATCCAAGAAAGCAACTGCTGAAGGGTCTGTCTGCAACCACCAGACTTGAACAAAAACAGATTAATATTAGAGCTCTTCAGAGTTATTAAATTCAGTTGTGTAGATTATTTGTTTATATTTCAGGCCTGGAAAAAACAATATTAGTTGTACCTGACAAAAATATCAGGCACTATTGAAGTTATAGCTTTTGTACAACTTTCATTTAAAAATTAATAAAAGCACAGAAAAGACTTGTCTTTGTTCTGTTGATCCATATTTCAGTTGAAAATCAAAATTGATTAATTGTATTGATATTTTCAGGCAATAGTAGATGTTGTGGTTAATTTACAATTTTCATTGATTGAAGCTTTATGGCAAGGTTTCTGGAGAAATCAACCAATCGATCAACACAAGTAAGTCTTTCCTTTTAACATCCGGGCAAAATTTTCCTCATAGCACACTACATGGTGTGTGCCTGTCTTCTAAAACCAGGTTGATGCATAAATGCAGGATGTTAAACCCCATTTCAGATTTGAATAATTGGATTTGACAGATCAGTAGACCCATGCTGTGAAAAAAGAGGAATAACTAACCCCCTACCTAAACTCACCTGAACTTGAAAAGTAGGAGAACCATCCTCTGTGATGTTTTACTCTTCTCAGATTTCCTTACACTGCTTCCAATTTTGTTAATATCAAACTAAATAGATGAACTCTGCCGAAGTAGATGTCAAATTTTTGTTGAAGGAACATACCCGTTATTACATACTGTAATTATCTTTTTCAGTGATAATGATTTTGAAAGAAAATTACCAAAGGAGAAATTATTCCTTTTATGTAAATACGACCCAATCCATGTATTTGTTCGTAAATCTGATTATGCGTTTTATCAAGCTATTATTGAGGTGCTAATTCCTGATGTTCTACGGCCTATTCCCAGTAAGTATACACATTACAAACTATGCCCAGAATACACATTACAATGCCCTGTGAGCATACACTGTATGCACATTACAAACTATTCCCAGTACGTATACACGTTAGACTAATACCCTGCTAAGTATACACATTACAAACTACTACCCGACAAACTGTTCACAGTAAGTAAACATGTTACAAACTACTCCTAGTAAGTATATACATTACAAACTATTTCTAGTAAGTTGCACATTGTAAACTATTCCTAGCAAGTATACACCTAAACTATTTCTAAGTATACACCTAAACTATTTCTAAGTATACACCTAAACTATTCCTAGCGAGTATACACATTACAAACTATTCCTAGTAAGTATACAAATTACAAACTATTCCTAGCAATTATATACATTATGAACTATTCCGGATTAGTATACACATTATGAACTATTCCGGGTTAGTATACACATGAACTATTCCTAGCAATTATATACATTACAAACTATTCCGGGTTGGTATACACATTACAAACTCTTCCTAGTAAGTAAACATGTTAATTACAAACTAAGCTATTCCTAACAAATAGATTATTCCCATTAAGTAAGCTTTTACAAATTACAGAACTTGTGTTATGTTACTATTTACTGACTTAGTATGTGCTTTAAGACCATGAACAGCCAAAACTACTTTTATTATCTGGTCAAAACTTGGCCAAAACAAAGATTGTATTATACTTGGGTGTGGTTAATTACGTAAGTCTTCCGACATATATGTGAACAATCTGGCTTGTTTTAATTTTTAAGTTGGCATCTGACCTTTAATTCTTGTTTGCTAAGACCTTTTGTTTTCAGCCTGGAATATCTTCTATTCTTTGCATAGCTTCATTGCTTTTCTACATGTTCCCCAATTCCACCAAGCTCCTAAAGACATTACAACTCATTTCACCCTGTTCTTTATAGAGCTTAACATCTTAGTATAAATTTCTTGTATCTTTTAGGTTCCTTAACTCAGGCGATTCGAAATTTTGCTAAAAGTTTAGAAAACTGGTTGAAATCGGCCATGCAAGGTGTTCCTGATGAGATGATAAAAACTAAGGTAAGGAAATAATTTCAATATTTTGTATGTAAGTTATTTTCAATCGGGAACCTTATTCATGAAAACTTAAGCTAAATATTTTAAGGATTTAGCCGTTTCCTCAGTTGAAATATTTACAAATTATTGTATGCAAGTTTCAATCAGGACCCTGTTATGGTATTCCTTAAGACTCGGTACAATATCACATTCCGGGATTGTATACCAGTGATTCCGGTGTGGTTTCCCCTTGGCAGTTGTACCAGATGAAGGGACTAACAAGGACAGCTGTCTAGTTCAAATCAAATGAAAAACTGAGATCTCATGTACACATTGAAATGTACATAAAAAGGCCTTTGGCAGTTGGAATGCGAAATAAGAGTGGAATGTAGAACCGCTGTCGGGCCAAAATTTCCCTTATTCTGGTATGTTTTTATCTTAATCTTTTTTTTTCTTCTTATTTGTAGATTGGAGCTGTAAGTGCCTTTGCTCAGACATTACGACGTTACACATCATTAAATCATTTAGCCCAGGCAGCACGAGCTGTTTTACAAAATACATCACAAATAAACCAGATGTTGACAGATCTCAATCGAGTCGACTTCGCCAACGTTCAGGTATAATGACAGTGATTTTGTTAAATATTTCATGTTGTCCTGGGATGGGTGTCAGAATTAGAATCATTATTATGCAAAATTATCCCTCGCACCCTTTAAAGTTGCCGATCGTTATTTTTTTAAAATCAAACTAGCTTATCAGAACGATGAACCTTGAAGAGGATTATCAGTCCAGGAATGGTCCAATTCCAGTCAGTATTTACAAAGATATGAATGGAACATTTTGCTACTCTCGGCATCCACTGCAGAAGATAGTAGCCATTGATATTTTGATTTTGTTTTCTCAATTAAATGTTAATCAATTTGAGTCGCATGTTGGACTCGGAGTGGTATTAGCCATGAAAAATTATATATTGTCCGAAAAGTGCACTTTTCGATGTTACCGACTTTAAGCAAAGAGTTTTCAGTGGATACAATTAGATTATTTCATGACATAGGCACCTACCAGCCTGGGTTTAAACCTGGAGCTGGCCTAGAAATTTCCTTGGGGAAACATTTAGGTTCTGTGTACTCCTTGGCACGTATGTTAAAAAAAACTCTGCGAAATTGAAATTCAGTGAAAAGTAGACTGAAATACAGCTGTTCAATCCAGATTTCCTGTCTTCATTTGACCTGTTGGTACAGATATGTATTGCGCTAAACGCCATTTCATTACAATATAGCATGTTTTTTGTAGGAACAGGCTTCGTGGGTTTGTCAATGTGATGACACAGTTGTACAACAATTGGAACAAGATTTCAAGAAAACATTAAAACAGCAGACATCTTTAGAACAGTGGGCTATCTGGCTAGAGAGTGTCGTCAATCAGGTTTTAATAACGCACGAAGGTAGTCCCAATTTTCCTAAAGCTGCTCGACAATTCCTGCTCAAATGGTCCTTTTACAGGTCAGTATGAAACTTAGAAAGATAATTCTTGAATCATTCTGGTGGCGCAGTGAGTAAGGCACTGGCTCACTAACCGAGGAAGTCCTTCTGGATTTTTTTTTAGCATTGTTTCCCCCCCTTGTCAGTGTCACAGGGCAGCTGTCCTGCCAAGGTAAAGTGTCTAGTCATTTGGATGGGATAAAAAACAGACGGTTTACCTGTGTACATAAAAGAAACCTTGTTACTCTTGCTTTCGAGCAAACTATTTTGCATAGCACACAGCATGGTGTATGCCCATCAATGTTAAGTCAATTGTTGCAGAAAAGTAGGATGTTAAAACCACATTTCGTTTCATTTATTGAGTTTACCCCATTGAGTCAGACCATGTTTCTTTCCTTCCAATTGAGTCAAATAATAAGTCTTATTAATGTTGACTATTTTTTCAGTTCTATGGTAATAAGAGATTTGACGTTACGAAGTGCTGCCAGTTTTGGTTCTTTTCATCTGATCCGTTTATTATATGATGAATATATGTTTTATCTAGTCGAACATAAAGTAGCACGAGCTACAGGAGAGACACCTATAGCGGTCATGGGTGAGGTGAGACAGGTAGGGAAAGACAACTTGTCCTTTCTCTGCATGATATTTTTTTTTTGTTTATATTATTTTTTTCGTAGTCTTATGTTTAGTTCAAATGTACATGTGTATATATAAGCATGCTATGTTCCTTATGTCTGTTTTCTGGTCGACTAACGGGGAGCCACGGTGGCTAAGAGGGTAAGACGCAGGCCTGGTAGCCTAGAGGTCGCATGTTTGATCCCTGCATTGGCCGAGAAAGTTCATTGGGATATTCCTACATGGTTTCCACTTGTCACTGGTGCTTTACGGAGGGCCTGACAAGGACGGATGAGACAAAAAACTGTATACATTGGCATGCATATATAAAGATCCATTGGAATTCGATAAAAGAGTAGGCCATAGTGCCACTGCCCGGGCTAAATTTCACTCATAGCACACTGTATGGCGTATGCCCTTCTTCATTAGCCCAGTCAGAGCAGAACAGTAGGACGTTAAATCCCATTTCAATTCATTTCTGGTTGACTTACACAGAACCCTGTAAGTGTCCGTCCAGCAATAAGTCTTCAAACTCCACAGAGTAATGTTTGGAGGGCATATGCTTAAAAGAACCCTTGACAGTTGGAAATCAATGCACAGTAGATGGAAATGCAGCGTTAAAATTCTGCTCCCTAGCATTAATTGACTGAGCATAGAGAAATAATATAGCTTCGGAATGAGCCAAGTGCCATTAAAGATGTATTATATAAGATTCTTGTTATTATATTTCAAAAATAGATAATGAAAATGATTATATTGAAAATTATACAAAACATTTGAAGCAAAAATAAAAACCTGTAATAGGCAGATTTAACTCTTACTATAATGTATCTTAAAACTCCATCAATAAATATGTTCAATAATTTGATGTTTTTGGTTGCTTGTATTCATACAGTTTGTTTTATGTTATACCATATTGAAATTGTCCTTGCTGTATTCATGTATTGTTTGTTATATTTTATGTTGACCCATTATCAGATGTTTTTCAATTTACTTTTTCGTCACATCAGTTTTCTTTTAACATTTGACTAGATTTATCCTTGTTTTATTTTAACGTGTGTACTATAAACAACCAATAAAAACACTGCTGTTCCATCATTCACTCATCAGTTGCCGAGTCTCGTGCAACATACATTTGATGTCTGCCATCCGAAAGCGACCTTTTTGAATTAGATTTTATGCAGTGGAGAAAATCCGATCAGAAAGCGTCCTTTTTGAATTAGATTTTATGCAGTGGAGAAAATCCGATCTGTCAACACTCATATTATTTTTTTTAAGGATGTTAATATGTTATATTTTTCAGTTCTCTGATTTAAGTAGTGCTGTAGCTTTGGGAAATCTGGAAAGTGACAAAAAAATAACGGTGACTGCCTCATCCGCAGCCGCGACAACGACGAAACCAGCAACTACTAACACAGCTGCTAATTCGACGACAGTCATGTTGCTAACGCCAACCGGAACAAACACATCGGCCGGAACAACAACAACGGGATCAACGACTCAGACGGTCACCGTTCGACCGGTGTCTAATGGAATAGGTGGCACCACTGTTAATACGACAACAGGAAATAAATTGGTAGTTTTATCGACAAATGCTAGCACGGGTATAATGGGTGCAACGAACACTCTCACTCCTTCTACTGCTGCTAATCCGACAACATTAACCGTGCGTCCAGCTGTGGGTAGTACGGGAAACACAAAGACTCATACCATCTTAGTAATGCCCATTTCCTCAACGGCTGGCACTGACGGAAGCCCACAAATCAAGCGATTAAAAACAGAATGAAGATCGAAGATGTGTTGAGATAATAAAAATAAATATTTTTTAGCAAGCCCATGTGATTACTTCTATATATTCCTGTTTTAAATCAATGTTGTCAAGTATTTAAATTTGTTTTCGTTTTAAAAAAACAATTTATCTTTGAGGCCATATTATGTAAAACAAAGGTTTCACAATATCTTGAAAGTTAGGCGCGAGACCAAACATGTTCATTATGAACAAATTTAGTGAACTTCAATTTTTATGTTGTGGCCTTGAAAATTCTTCAGAATTAAAAATGAATTGGTTTGGCCTGAACATGGAATAACAGCAATAGTTGAATTGGTTTGAAAGGTCATACATTTGTTGTGAAAATGTGACACAATCCACACACATGAAATAAAGAAATTTAATTTATATGACATGATAATATAGAATTGTTTATATGCACTTATTCTGCGAACACTTTTTTCCCCTGATTAGAATTAAATAGTTCTTTTAATAGTTAAGATAATTCTGCTTTTATTATTTTAGTTGAATGTTAAATTATTAAATTTGAATATTATTATATGAACTGCTGACACGTGACTTGTAAAATACAAAGGCTTTAATTTATTCATTCTATATAAAAGATTATTGTGGTTTTGTGGACGGAAAATACATAAAGAGGCCATTATCAAAAAAATGTGGCATGTAATTTCAGAAGATATATTTTTTTATTAATCACAGAATTTGATGTTGTAGGGCTGGCACCTGTTGACAAAGGATTTAAAAATGAAGAAAAGTGCCAGTTTTGTGTTCATTTTAAAATGTCTCAAGATTCTGAAAAAAATTGGCAAACGTGGCTAAATATTAATCGTTATGTTTTGTACGTGAATATATTTTAAAAATTGGCTAAAGTTTAGCCAGTGTAATCTTTATTTATGATATATTGAATTCAGTGTCAAAAAAACATTATACATAGATATATTGTATCTATAGGGCTGCAACAATTTGTTGAATTATACAATAACTTAGAGGTGCTGATCATGATGGCTTAATACATGCTACAATGTACACAGCTTGATTGTATATTTTATTGTCAAAACAAAACCAATATATCAATGGTAGGTAATCTCCCAGTTTGGATTTAGTCGGAATAATGAGACGCCTCGAAAGATGGTGCTGGCTTGTTTATATCATCAGCCTAACGGAATTGAGCCAATGTTGCACTGATATTATTTTTAGTCCCAATATTGTAGTTCAAAAGTTCAAAATCCCTCAAATAATGATCAGTTTTAAGATTGGCACAAAATTTCCCATGGCTGGGTATTGAATGTACATGCATATTATAGCCCAACTCTTCTGTTTTTAGTGTGACCTTGCAAATAAACAATCTAATAATTGAAATATAGTGTCTCCGGATATATCGGATGGAAATCATTCAAAATTTTAAAGATATCAAATGTTAAAAACAATTCCATATCGTTGCAGCCCCTATTGTATTATACGTGTTAATTAACAAAAGCCTTATTCTATGTAAATAATTGTAATATATTTTCACCCTAATTAAATTTACAGCCTATATATGGTATTTGTATATAATATTATGAAGTCATGTGACTCTATCAAGCTATATATAGGCATGCATTTTAGTATTGCTAAAGTTGTTGAATGTTAATGTTTTTTGAGTGAAAATTGGGATGTTTTTTTTTTGTTTTTTTTTTTAAAAAAAGTTAAATGCATCCTGCAGACAAATTTGTCTCCTCGAGTCTGTTTAATTATTTAACAGTATGTAAATAATTTAACAGTATGTAAATATATCCTATCTTGTTGATAGATTGAGCTATTTATTTAATTTGTAACAAAACACACTCTCGGCATTCTCTAGTGAAGATAATTTATACAGGTCCAGATTAAGGCATGGACTTCAGGGGCTGCAGAGCAAGGACCCCTCTGCCAGCTCGTGGGCCTCCAGATATTAGGTGAAAATTAAATTTGTTTGTGAATGCTTCACCAATGTATAAGTACTCTAAACTGCTTATTGTAGGCTAAACAGAAACACTGTACTGTATACAAGGGGTTGCTTGTGGATACAAATTTCATACAGTAACTGTAGCCCACGTACCCACCCAGTCTTAATCTGGCTCTGAAATTAGATGTAGTGTACTTGCACAAGTTTAGTTTTCAGGTTAACTCAGTTCAGTATCCGCGTCCTTTTCCGTAACTTTGTTCTTATGATCAAAGATACCCAAGAATCAGTCCTCATTGTGGATGAATTACGCAGCACCTGCACAATGATTTGTTATTCCCAACAAAAAAAAAATATTGTGGGCAAAATTAAACATTTCTCTCTCGATTTTGTACGGACCAAGAATTACTATAAAGAATTCACTCCATTTTATCACTATTTAATATTCATTGTAGTACACCATTTAAATTATTATCTTTGCTGGTTAATTTTTGTGTCTATTAATTTCACAGGTTTTTTTTTTTGATTAGCCTTCGAGTATTATTCTTTTACCATAGTTTACAATAAGGTTGTGCATGTTCTGATTTTGATGATAAAATATAATATAATTTCCTGGCTGCAGGTTGGCCTTGTCAAGTGTTTATCACCATCTTTTATGGAATTTGCATGGGTTTTTGTTATCGAAAAAATGAATTCAATGAAGTATTAAATAAAATTAAGAGATAGTTTCGTGGTCATGATTATTATTATTGTTAAAGTAAAAATAAATACCAGTCATAAAAACATAGCTTCAAGATGCACATACAAAGTAGTCCGTAAGTCGTAATTGAACATTTCTAAGATCAAACTATAAATAAGTTTTTACAAATTTAAAATCAAAACTTGTATGAGGACGGCTTGGAAATAATGTTTTTTGTTGTGTATTAAAAAGGTTTCGGGCATTGACATTTTGAATTCTAGTGGCGGAAATATATAATAAATGTTGTTAATAATCAACTAATCTATTCCAGACATTATAGAGTTTGGGCTAGTAACAGGTGTCTTATTTCCAGGCTTGAACATACTACCATATACATGTACTATAAATAAATTGATCTGTTACTACTGTGCTGTGTCATCTCGGTAAATTAAGTCAGTTGGATGAGATATTTTAAACCAACCCCTTTAAAATTAACCATTAATAGTTTATAAATAGATTTAGATTATGTTATTTATTAGACTGATTTAGCAATTAGGATTAAATTGAAATTTACTTTTCCATTCTTATATCAATGAGTATATGGAACGGATGCCAGTATACAGAGTGTAATTCAGTATTAGCTTTAAGAGGCATTAGAACTTTTCACAAAAAAATAAACGGGATTAATATTATATTATGCTCAAAATAACAGGGCTAATTATCAGAAATCCAAGAACTCAGCTCAAACCACTGTTCACACGAGTGTCCGCTAAACTTAAATACTACTATTGGATGTGATGCATAGGTCTGTCTGAATGGAATTAGCTTTATATCATTTCATTTATCAGATATATCTTTCAGATTTAGATTTCAAAAAGTAGTATTAGAAATAAGTAAACTTAGGTAATCTAGCTTGAAGATGTACAATTTTAGTAAACTTAGCTAACTTTGAGATGTACAAGATTGGTCAATTTAGGCAAGTTAGCTTGGCGATGTGTAAGTTCCGCAAACTTGGGCAAGCAGGTTGAAGATGTACAAGTTCATTCAACTTCGGTAAGCTAGCTTGTTGCTGTGGAAGTTCAGCTAAGCTAGCTTGGAGTTGTATAAATTCCAGGAACTGGGGCAAGCCAGCTTGAAGTATGTACAAGTTTAAACATAAATTTATAAGTTACCTTGAAAAATTAGGTAAGCTAAGCAAGCTTGGAGATGTACAAGTTAGTAAAGTTAGGTAAGCTAAGCCAGCTTAAAGACGTACAAGTTTGGTAAACTTGAGTAAGCTAGCATGGAAATGTACAAGTTTGGTAAACTTGAGTAAGCCAGCTTGAGGATGTACAAGTTTGGCAAACCTGAGTAAGCTTGGAAATTTACAAGTTTGGCAAACCTGAGTAAGCTTGGAAATTTACAAGTTTGGCAAACCTGAGTAAGCTTGGAAATGTACAAGTTTGGTAAACTTGAGGAAGCTAACTTGGAGATGTACAAATTTGTCAACTTTAGTAAGCTAGCTTAAAGTTTGAGTTATCTTGTTGATTGGAAATGTGCAAGTTTAGTTTTCTGTATAATTTAAGCTGTCATGTTTTTAATAACTTATTTAATATTATAACTACCTCTTGAGTCACTTATTCATAATTTATATCATAGCAATCATTTCTTTCATTTTAATTTAAATTTCTTTAAGTCCCGATTTCCCCTGGAATCAATCGAATGAAATTTAAGTAGATTGAGTGAATCTTGGATAAGACGAAAAATGAGCCCCCTTGTACACCATTGGTAGCACATGAAAGTATTGTCCACGATATCCTTGTGAACATGTATATTTATATTTCCATTATCTTCAAGCGGTAGTATAAGTGCTCTTTTACTAGGTTTGATGCAAAATACAGTATTGGTCATAGTACGAACTATAAAATAAGATAAATTTGCCTGCCTTACATATTCAATAATCTTGTTAGCTCAGCAAAATGGGTGGTTTGTGCCTGTTTTCCATGTATGCGTTTTCACAAATGTAAGGGGACCGCTTCTACGTAATGAACGCGAATACACATAAATGGAAAACAGGCTTTAGTGTTTGAATCTCAAGTCACCAATGTGATGGCGAGTTTCATCTGTGACTATGGTTCATAAGAATTCACCTGTCTAGTTTTTCACCATCCACCAAGAATTGTGAGTGGTAAATTAGGGCTAGTTTTATGATTGTCTCACTATATTGTTAAATGAAATTTAAATCCCATATTACCCTAAGCAAATAGATGTGTCAGTAGGCAAGAGTCTTTAAAGTTGAGACACTTCAAGTAGTAGATTTAAATGTTTATTTTCCATCTTTAGATAATGGCTAGATATTGGACTAATGATTTAACTCTTGTTTGCCATCTTTAGATAATCGCAAGTATTATATCATATCCTTGTCATCAGATTAATACCACACTGGTATACCAGAGTATGTATAATTGTGTGAGTGGGATATGGTTTAACTATAGTCGTAGATCATGGTGTTTGTCATCCTTAGATAATGGCTAGTTTTATATTGTATCCTAGTCATTCGATTTATACCACTCCGGTATATCAGAGTATGTATATTTGTGTGAGTGGTATATGATTTAACTCTGTTTACCATCTTAGATAATGGCTAGTGTTATATCATATCCTAATCGACTGATTTATAGAACTATGGTATATAGTGTAATTGTGTGAGTAGGATATGATTTAACTTGAGCTGTAGATTATGGTGTTTACTGCTGTGTACTTAAAGTTTTAAATTTTGTACAGTTTAAAACATGACTTATATTATTACCTACTATGGAAGAGAAAGTATTTTTTGTCAAGTATCAAAAATTAAACTGTGTCAAGTTAATATAACATCTGTTGATATGAAATAATAAAAAAAAAATATTAAAAGTCTGCATATTTATTTTGTTATTTTAGAATCTGTCCTCCACTCAGAATAGCTCTATAGTATGCATGGCCAATAGCCAGGGAGTCTAAAGTAAGGGGGAATGTGAACTTGGTAGCTTAGTAAGGCACTGGCTCACTAACAGAGGGTACAGGGTCCAATCCTGGTGTTGACAAATCAAGACTTAGTGGGTAGGGTGCTGGCTCACTAATCTGATAAGAGGTTTGATCCCGGTGTTGGCAAGGAATTATGTCTAGTCGTTTGGATTGCACGAAAAACCTGCACGTAAAAGAACCATTGACAGTTGGAATTCAATTCCCTCATATCACACTGGTAGGTCGGTGTGAAAACGGAGGACCTTATTGTGTACATCAATTTGTATCTGCAAATACTGATCGAAGAGTTAACTTTCAGATTGGTATAATCTGTGATATAAATACAGTTTAGAAGATTACTATAAAAAAACATAGGCTATTAATAATTATGTAGTATAAACATCATAGACTGTGTTGATGTTAAGAGATTTCGTACGTGTCAATAGGCCTTTGCTATTAAGCCATTTGGAGATGGATGCCTGATTTAATAGAACTACATGGAGTTGATTGTTTACTTAGTCATTTACTCATACAACAAATAAGCCCAAAATTTACATGCTGATATCAGCTAAATGATCGACCATCCATCGGCCTACTGTCATGACAGCCAAGTCAAATTTCACAAATCATTTGTCAAAATAACTGTGCAATAAGTCTAATTATATTAAGTATTTATAGTTTTGGCGCTGTGAAGATTAGCTATATTGACACTTATTTTAATCTCAAATTGAATCTGATTTTAATTTGACATAAAATGAACCCGACCATCAATGTGCATTGCACATATACCAACCAGTACACTACAAAATTCATGTACTACTATTAAAGATGCATTATAAGAGCTATTTCCAGGGGTTTATTTTAGCTTCAAATATTATACAAACTATTATTCAGACATTTAATAACATGACAAGACTATAATCAACTCTCTAGATCTTTGGATGGCGGAGATTTAAATGACTGAAACAAGCTCGCCATTTAATTTCAAAATGATGAATTGAGGCTGGTGTCTTTATCTAACTCTTACATAAATGCATCTGTAATACAGTAGAAAGAATATCTTGATACCAGAATCTATCCATCACTCACATTTAAAGCTGCTAATCATAATTTGAAAGATTTGAATCCTTTAAAAACTACAATATTATGACAGTTGGATGGATCTCTAAAAAGAATATCAATCCAAACATGGTTAAATTTCGCTCAGTAATTTACAAAGATATGATTATGAATTGAACCTTTCACAGTTATCCAACAATACAAAGTGACCATCATGTTACATTCACGAATTCACTGTGTATCTCTCTGTAGCTCAAAATGTTTGTGTTCAGGTCCTGCATAGTTTCACATACGGTATCTGGACTGACAGAAATCGATTCTGTTTCACTCAGCTGGAGCGGGCATGACGATTTACCCAATAGGGCCTACTACCCAAATACTGTATTTATAACATTCCAAACCATGGCCCCGAAAAAACACGTCTATCTTATCTATTTTTATATTGTATTTGTAAACATCATAAACACTGACATCGTAATCACTAAAGCAGCAGGTAGACAGAATTTTGTTCCACAAATGCTAAATCAATCTCTCACTTCCTAAATTCCAATTTTCAAGAACTGGCATGCCCTTAACTTGGTGGCATAAAATATTTGCCCGAGTTGATTTGTATCCACATTTTGCTATTCTTCTGAGTTTTGTGGATTTTTATCCAAGGCTTTTTCATTTAAACGTTTGTCAATTCTTGTATCATTATGATGAATAAACCATTTTACTATGTCGGTACATCATCTATTTTCTCTTTAGTGCCCTTTTACCCTCCCCTTTCTTAGGTTTTGATTTTCCTCTTAGATTTTTTAATCTCCTCATCTCCTCCTTAAAATCCATGTGCTCATCTCTAAACAATCCCAAGTGTCGTAACCTTGACATCATCCTTCCAATAACATCATGCTGTGGATAATAATTGACTACTTCTGGTTTTAAATGCAAAGGTTTTTCACTAAATATCTTCACTACTCTTGTCGATTGAGATGTTGTTGGTCTAACCACTTCTCCAAATATTCTTGCAGCCAAACGACCCATTCTCTTTGAATAATTCGATGCCATTTTAACTGATTTTATGTGTTTACTTATATCCCCAAATATAAAAATATTTCTAACATGTCGGCCATCGACAAAATAAAAATGTTTAAGTGGAGTTATCCCCCGTTAACAATAAATCGTAGCCCACGTGCGTTACGATAAACGCATCGAGTAAACAAATGTCAGGTGACCACATCACGTGACTGGTACTTCCACTTCCACCGTCCATATTGCTGTCAAAAAAAAAAAGGTACGTTTATGAAATAAAACCACGCCGAATTATTCATGTATGCTTCTTAGATAAATATTATTATGATTACGATCATGATATATCAGAAAAAAACCTATATATTGATGGATCTATATCTAGTTCAAAAATAGAGTCGAAGACGTAATTTAAGACCTGTTTGTCATTATTTTCTTGTCAAAAAACAAGCGTGCCCCGGTCTAATTTAATTTGGTCTACTTGAACTTTATTGTTAAGTTGATTTAGCTGTGAACAACCAGTACGATGATTGAAATTATTGCACACGTCTTGTCAAACCTTCAAAGGCTATTATCTTCGCTCGCAATAGAGTAATTTGAATGAAATTTTCAAATTATTCATTTTGCATTATCTATTTTCGAACTATTATAGCAAGAATGGCTAGCTCTTTATCTAAATCTTACATAATGTATCTTTAATATCCATATTTCTTTATGTACGTACATAATTAATCAATCATTTAACTTTTGTTGCCCACCTCAGTGGCTTTACCTCACCTTGGTTGACCTATTTTCTTAATTGCATTATCATTTTGAAATGTCATCAGACTAAAAACAACTTGTTAAAACCAATGTAGCGCTATGTAAAGACACCTACATAAGGTTGATAAAACAATTAAATATTAATCCCAAAATAATCTGTCCACTATAACCTGTAATTTGGGTAGAGAGAGAGAGAGAGAGAAATGGGGTTTAACATCCACTCGACACAAACTAGGTCATTTCCGGACTAACATATGGTTTAATTTTATTTCAATAATTCGCTTGCTCTTAGGATTCTTTAGCAGTGGGAGGAAACCGGAGGACCCGGAGAAAACCCACGAGATTGGACAGGCAACCCTACTCCTCCTTGTCACGTACAACCGGGGAATCGAAACCCCGCCAGTTGACTCAATGACAGACCATTACCAAATGAGGATTGGTGGCTTTAAATAACATTTATATGAACATTATTACAGGAGAGAGAGAGAAAGAGAGAGAGACAGAGAGAGAGAGCTTTCAGTAGGGGTCTTTAGCAGTAGGGGGGAACTGGAGGAAACTCAGAATATTACTTTCAGAACTAAACTGGTACTGTGAATGGTAAATATTATATACAAGGATAGCACTATTTAACAATACATATCAGACCTATTATAGATTGTCCACCCTTTCCAATTAATAAAGATATTTTTATTATTATTATTGTCACATAAAAGCTGTGAATTGAAACCATGCCGCTTGATTTAATGACAAACCTTATGATCTAAAGTGCCCCCCCTTCCCCTAGCTTTAAATAACATGAACATTATAACCAATAACATGCAATGAAGGTAGATTACCTGTATAAAACACCTGCCTGTATTTTATTTGATCTAGGTTGATTTACATTGATTTTCTTCGTTTAAAATTACAGAGAATATATCTCATAAATTTTATTTCCAGGTGTTAATATTACAGCTTACATTATTGTTATTAAACCTCTCTGTAATGATGAATTATTGATTTGTATATTCTTCACAAACCATACTAGTCTCCACATTGTAACAGGTAAGTTAAACAAATTCACTATTTCATTCACATTCATGTCATTTTCTTTAAAGTCTTTGATCGTCGTTTCATGAAGTTTGAATCCCTTAAAATCTACAATATTGTGAAAGATGAATCTCTTAAAGAAATATCAGTCTGTTCAGTATTTAAAATTGACAATATGATGCATTCACTGCAGGCAGTCAACAGATATGGTCAAAAGCCAGCAAAAGTCTTTTGATGGGACTCTTTTCAATCTGTCATCCTAATGAATCCAAGCATTGATTTATTTTCCTGTGCCTTTGTTAGCATCATAGCAATTCCAATTATTATCTAAACTTTCTGACTTTTATTTGGTTTTCTATAATTTTTAACAGTTTTTGATAATAATTTCTAGAGTTATTCCCCTTTGTTGCACAATATATTATAAGATCAGAATCAGTACAAGAACTTGTTGGTGGATGATAAGGAAATAAATGCTGCTACCTTGGAACATATTTTCACAAAATTTCATTCCATGTATAATAAGAATTGAAATATAAACTTTTGTGTTTACAGATCTGAAAAAACCCAAAAAAACCTGTCAAAGTAAATATGGATCACAGTGCACATCATCATCACACAGATAACCTGGATCATTCAGGACTACATTCTAGTCATAGTCTAGATCATGAAGGTCATCAGGTATGTTAACACCTTATGAATTGTTTTTAATGACATTTTTTAGTAATTGACCGTCTGTCTTAAAGATACATTGTCCCGAAAGTATTTTTCGCGTGGTTATTTCCAATAAAAGTATGACAAATTTGGTATATGGAAAGTATAGACTCCCAACTTTACTAGAAAAATACTAGATTACCCGAAAAACACCCATGGGGCAAGCACTGGGCAAAAATGTCATGGTATCACTAACCGGCATCGCTATACTGTTGTCTGCCGGCTTATTGTGTGCTTATAGCTTGACTGAGGGTGCAGTTGTTATTTCTTGATCAAATGTTTTAGGAACATTGAGGGGTGTCAACGTACAGACTTTTTAATTAAATGTCGGAAAAAAAAGTTGACTGAAAATAATTAAAAATTTACTTAGGCCTCAATATGTATGTTAAATGGACAGTAAATGGCGTCTAACAACAGTTTATTTATAGCTTTAGGTATCTCCCCGCGAAAACAAAGTTTTGAGAGGGATATGAAGCAAATTTTTGATAGATTCATTAGTTTGAATATGTTTTTAGTCCAATATATTATCAAATCACAATTTGTACACAGGCAAGTATCTGGCATGTATCAGACTGTAGCTTCATGGATTATGGCCCCTGATTGTACAAAAAATCACATTTTGTTTTGTTGTGGACACTCTTAAGAGTTCACAAATTTTAGTCCGATTTTGATGAAACTTGAAATGTAAGGGTCTTTAACAGTGGGAGGAAATGGGGGACTGAGAGAAAACCCACGAGGTTGGACAGGCGACCCTTCTCCTTGTCACATACAAGCAGGAATCGAAACCACACCACTCGACTCAATGACACACCTTATGATCTAAAGCTCAAGCTTTAAACTATTTGATCAGCCAACCCCAGTCGAATGTTGCTCAGTAATTGTTTTCTGTAGAATTGTGCCCTGTGTATGCTTAGGCTTATTGTTTAAATGGTATTTTAGTACTTAAACATACATTATGCAAGAGCTAAATCTGTCTATTGCAGGTCTTTCTTTAGGCCTGAAATTTTATCTAAATTATTAATTAGACATTATAATTAACCTTTCCAGACCAAAATCAACTCTAGATGGCATCGCTAGCCTGCCATCTTTAGTGGATTGTGAGCCGATTTACTGCATAATTTTCCTTCACGATTTAACAATAAAATGGATAATCGAGACTATGCTGTTTATCGTACTGACTTTAGTAATGATGATCAAGGCTAGGCGGAAATTCAATCGCTTTGTTCTCGGTTCATAGTGGATCAATTTGAATGAAATTTTCAGCAAATTGCCTTTACATTATCTAGTTTTTAACTATTATAGTGAGAACTGCCAACTTGTTATCAAATCTCCCATAATGTATCTTTAACTATAAATAAATAAAACTAACTATATGGAATAACAAATACTTAGCTTTTATTATTATTTCAACTACCAGTCTTCAGGCAAAGGTTTAAGCTTATTGTGTGGGGATTTATTTTTTCTTTCAGTCATTTTTCCATACAGCCTATGGTAATATTATATTGTTTAAAGGTTGGAGATTATATGATGCCAAAGGTAAGCTTGTATAAAATATGTTATATCTCATACTATACACTTATTTACAATGATATGAAACGGGGTTTAATGTCCTGCTTTCCTAAACTCACTGTGCTAATGAAAAGGGGCGTAAGTCATGCTTGATAGCAACTTGAAAAGCCCTGTCGAGAGAGAGAGATAGAGAAAGAAATGGGGTTTAATGTCCACTCAATACAAACTAGGTCATTTCGGGACTAACATATGGTTCAGTTTTATTTCAATAATTCACTTGAGCCTAAGGGTCTTTAACAGTTGGGGTTTAACGTTCTGCTTTTCTGAACTCATTGTACTAATTATAATGAAAAGGGGCATAAGTCATGCAGTGGGCTATGAGGGAAATTTTGCTCAGGCAGTGGCCCTGCAGCCTAAACTTGTTTTGAATTCCAATTCTGTTATGTGCATGCAAACAATGAGGCACTGTTCCATGCCATGCCCTCTGTCCTGCACCGTTGACAAGGGGAAACCACGCTGGAAAATCCTCAGGAACTGTCTCAGCCAACACCGGGATGGAACCCTGGACCTCCAGCTTAGTCAGAGCATCTAATGATTAAGTTCTAAAAATAATCAGTTTTAAATCTTTTATAAAAATACCGTTTGTTGAGTCTTAAGTATCCAAATTTTGAAATTGTTAGTTTTAAAGCTGCTGATATTGATTTTAATTATTTTGAATCTCTTGCAAACTACAAGGAATATCAGCCCAAATAAAGATCAGTTCTGTTCAGTATTTTAAAAGATATGATGAATTGGAAATTTCACAACATGCAGTATCCTCTGCAGACAACAGAAACAAGCCAATGTCACCTTAAAGAGCATATTAAACTTAGGCTGCCTGTCTACGGTTAGCTCTGCTTGAGAACAGACACTAATATATATAGCTAGTTGACCGACATTTTAAGTCCTAAATTGACGATTTTAGTCGAAAACACTATGTATACATCGAGAATTTGAGAAGTATTTATTCCGCATCCATTCTATAAAATTGAACAGGTTTATTTGTTCTTTGTTTGTATGACAGATGTGAAGTGGAGTAGAACAGCATTACTAAATAGTAATACTACTGTTTGGATATGGCGGCCATTCAGGGCAGAGATCTATTCTCAAAGTATGAAGTAGATGGATCTCTGTGTCCAGAATGCTTAAAATATTGGGTAAAATCTTTGTATGAGCTTCTTTTTAACTGATTAATTCCAAGCTGAGAGATTATCTACTATTGATATAATTCCTGACAAATGCACGGTTGGGATTGACAATTTTAAATCTTGTATGAAATAACAATTTGTTGAATCTTATGTTTCAGCCACATTCCTGACCTGTCTTGCCTTGGCTGTTTTAGCCGTTTTGTTCCAACTGTTAAAGTTTATACGACATAGATTTGGTAGAAAATGTATGAATCTAAACTGCAGGTAAGTTCTTCTGTGTTGATATAGGGGATGGGTGTTTCCTGCATGCACTACTGTTTATATGCCCACATTGAAGTATTCTTGTAGATTGATGTCACCAACGTCTGTCTGTCTGTCCGCTTGTCAATGCTCTGGAGATTAAATTGATCATCTGATTGAGTTGGAATTAATACACGAGAGACTATGTTCATGAACTGTTTCAATGGTGTTTAGTAGCTCAACTGGAATATACAGGTTACAGTTCTATGGAATACAATTACTGCTTATTATTGAGCGACGCTTCGACTAGGCTTCTATAGTCATTATCAAGCAATAATGACTAGAGAAGCCTAGTCAAAACGTCGCTAAGTAATAAGCAGTAATTGTATTCCATAGAATTGTGACCTGTATATGTTCATGAAACAAAGACGCCTATTAATCTTACCTTTTTCCGATAACTTGAACAGGTGAGGTTATCATCTGATTACTGGTACATGTTCTGTTGTGTTAGCTCTAAGAAGATATAGAAGTCTTTCAAATTTTAATTATTTCGGATAATTATTTCATGGATTGTTGCCTTTGATCAGTTTTTGGTGTCTTAAAGATGCTTCCATTACCTACAAAAGAATAAAAACTGTGATAGTCTTTATGGTCTGCTTGCATGGCTTAGCTGCTGTGGTGTATGTTTGGTTATTGGGCCCATCACTAACAAAATGTTTTTTATATTGGGTACAAATTATTTGTAAAATTTTCCTCAAAATTATTTGTAAAATTTTCTTCAAAATTATTTGTAAAATTTTCTTCAAAATTATTTGTAAAATTTTCTTCAAAATTATTTGTAAAATTTTCTTCAAAATTAGTTGTAAAATTTTCTTCAAAATTATTTGTAAAATTTTCTTCAAAATTATTTGTAAAAATTATCCTCAAAATTATTTGTAAAATTTTCCTCAAAATTATTTGTAAAATTATTGTAAGAATTTCTTCAAAATTATTTGTAAAAATTTCCTCAAAATTATTTGTAAAAATTTCCTCAAAATTATTGTAAAAATTTTCCTCAAAATTATTTGTAAAATATTTTTGGGGAAATATCTATCAAAATTATTTCTAATTTCATAAAATTATTTGTCATATTTATTTATCAAATTATTTATCAAATGTTTTTTCACCCCTTTCAGACGTTACATTTTGAATAAGAATCACATTATCCAGACAGTATTGTACACAATTCAGTTTGGTTCGGGTTATCTAGTCATGTTGGCTGTAATGACATACAACATATGGATAGCGATAGCTGCCATCGCAGGACTCGGGCTCGGCTATTTCTTATTTGGATGGGGTGAATATGAAGACGGAAAGCGTCAGGAGATTATGATAGTGAGGCCAGGCGGAAGTACAAATTGTGGAGAACAATTAGACCAAGAGTTATTGCCCTTGAGTAAGGATGCATCAGCAGACACACTTATTACTAATGTATCAAATGGTGGATTGGCTTGTTCATGTGACGACGAAATTTGATTGGATAAGTTCGGTCACATTTGATTGTATGATATGAAAAGGTTGGATTTTGTTTAATTGTATGATAATGTTGGGTTGTAATTTTTGGGTATCTTTTATTTTTCTGTGACAAATAATAACAGGGTATTTAGCCATTGAGTGCTTTCATTTGCAATATTATTCTTGTTTTAAAGTAACGGTCCATCATTTGCAATTTTTACTAGAAAATCTAATTTTTCACAGCTTAATCCATGCTAACATATCCTCAGATTGATTATTTAATATTTAATAACAAAATCAAAATACTAACACTAGATAAATCTCCCGGCTTAGATTTAAAACAGGCCTATTTATTCTGTTTTCATTGCGTAACGAGCAGCATACGATAAAATTTAAGTTCCACATATCTTTGTAAACAATGAACCAAATTCCTATTAGAGATTGATCTTTTACAATATTATAGTTGGCAAGGGATTCCAAATCTACTAAAACTTTAAGTTAACAGAAGGTGCTCGGTTGTGGGACTGGATTGTTTTCATATTCAATGAATTGAAGAGTCATTAAAAAAACCCTGATATATCGATATTTCCATTTTAAAATGGAAACAACCTATCGCCAACTGTACCTATTGAATTAGCATTAATCTAACATGATCATGAAATACGACATGTGGCCAGGTCCATATTTTGTCTACGATATCATCTTAGGTGGAAGTGGACGTAAAATCTAGGAACGAACGAACGAAAGGTCCATATCAACATCTTCGAGCACCAAGTCAAAATTGTTTACAGCCCACAGCATCATTCTAAAATGTATATTGTGAGCCAAGGTCATCACCCCCCGCCCCCCCAGGTCCTATTCATGGAAACTTTAACTAGAATATTTTAAGATTAGCACAAATTTGAGCCCTTGGCCAATAAAATGGCTACATTCTTAAAATATTTTAATTAAAGTTTTCTTGGATAAGATCCTGTATAAAGTATTTATGTGTATAAATTTTTATTTTGTTATTTATGTATTAGATATTGTCACAGTATTTTGATATTAAGGCCAAACAAAAAAAAGTATCCTGGTTCTCAGACAATATCCTTCCTATAATTCTGATGAGGGAAGAAGATGTTTGTTTTTGTGTTTCTATTTTATAAAAGGATCTCTACTGGGCTAAATGACTTGTCATAAACATTTTTATTTCATGATCAGTAGTGGAATACCGCGTTTTATCAGTGAAATAAAAGTGTTATTCCACTGGCTAGCAGTAGTCCATGTTATTTTTACCTAAAATGATTGTAAAATCATAAAATAAATAGAACATTTGTCGTTTTGTCGTGAATAACATATTTTATTTCATCTCTAAGCAAGAAAACACTCTAAAACGACAAATATCCTCTATATAGTGTTACTTCCTGTGTCCAAGGGAAAACGTTTACATGGGGTAGTTAATAAAAAAAAGGGTCATGCAGCTCTTTTTAAGTGATAATGGAGTATCTGTGAGAACCAGGATATTTCTTTTGATTTGGCCTAATCCTGTGTATATTTGTATTTGAATGCGAAGATTCTATCACGTGACACTTTGTATGTTTAACAATCTCATTGTAGCCCAATGTGCCACTGTTTACCGGTAACTAGTTCATTATAGGCCTATGATTAACAATCTCATTATAGGCTTATGTTCAGTAATCTCATTATAGGCCTATGTTTAGTAATCTCAATATGGGCCTATGTTTAGTAATCTCATTATAGGCCTATGTTTAGTAATCTCATTATAGTCCTATGTTTAATAATCCCATTATAGGCCTATGTTCAGTAATCTCATTATAGGCCTATGCTTAGTAATCTCATTATAGGCCTATGTTTCGTAATCCCATTATAGTCAGTTGATACTCATCTATTTTGTCCTAACACTAGTCTAGTGCTTTTCTGATGACATTCTTCTTATATTATAAGATTTCTTATACTGCGTTAAATTAATGTTTGAATGGCACAATCATTCTTTTGTAATTTTTAAGTTATGATAAAAATCGTTTGGATCAGTTTTGTGGTATTTTTTTATTTTATTATTATGTTAGAACATTATAATTATGTTATTGTTATAACAACGATGCTATTATATTATTTAAATATTTTATGCTCATGCTAGGAGTTTTCCTATGACATTATCTTACCACAACGATGCTGTCATATTGTTAATTATTTCTCGACTTTAATTTAAAGTAGGGCTGTACGATATTGCAAAAAGGGACGATATCGATATTGGCATTTTTTTCAACGATATAGTTAAATATCGCGATATTTAATAATAATGTCACTTTGCTATTATAAATGCCTTATAGTGGACTATACAGTGTGAGTAAGAATTGTGGGTAAGAATTGCTTTATTCATACACTTTAAACTTTGCTTTTTTATATAATATAGATTTATTAAAATGAACAAAACAACATCCTTTTTGGATAAAAACGTTTCAATGCTTTTGTACAGCTAGTACTAGCTAAGTTTTCCATAATTAAATTAAATACAACCGTTGATGTTTAAAAAGCGTCTGCTTGTCACCTTGTGTAAGAAAATTCTCAAATATATCACGTGCAGCGGAAGTAAGAAGATGCGGTCTTCAAGTCTTGTATTGTAAGTTCAAACAGTTTCATAGTAAGTGCAGGAGGACCGCACTATATATACACGTAAAACAAAAATCTACAAGATAAACCTGCACCGGACAAGACAGAAAATAGACATGGCACCAAATAAACAAATATCAAATCAAGTGAATGGATCCGGGGGCCAGTCGTAAGCGTCCACTGCGCTGTACAGTCCCGGGCCTGTAGTGACACAGACTTCACTCAAGTTTGAAAACAATCAGGAATACAAAAAAGACGTAACAGAAATAATGTGATACTAAATGACCCGGACTATCTTCCATCCAAGTATTCGATTGGCTGCGGTATTCCTGGCCTAACATTGACAGTAATCTATTTATAGATTGTTTTATTCTTGCTTTCAGAAATTCAGTTTCGTAGAGTTTTCTAAATATATTCGTTTTTTAAAAATATGACAACCTATTTATAGTGGGAAATTTCAGGCGTTTAGTAGGTCTAAGCTTAACATGTAGTAACAACTGACAATTTATTGTCGACTAAAAACAAAGTAAAAGTAACGCATGCACGATGCAGTGAAAACCGTCTGTGTTTTCAAAATTTAACGATTCTCAAAACATTAGTTTTATTATAGTTTATTGCCGTCGGCTAATTTCCACTGCTGTATAGTGTATTTATTATCTATTTTTATGATAATTTTTTTCGATATATGAAGTTTTTGGCGATATTCGATAAACCACTATATCGACGATTTTTGGCCACATGATATTGTAGTTGGGTCTGATAATACCATATCGCGATAAATGACTATATCGAGAATATCGTACAGCCCTAATTTAAAGCTAGGATTGCTATCACATAAGCTATTATTATTATAATGCTAGGATTGCTATCACATAAACTATTATTATTATAATGCTAGGATTTGCTATCACATAAGCTATTATTATTATAATGCTAGGATTGCTATCACGTAAGCTATTATTATAATGCTAGGTTTTGCTATCACACAAGCTATTATTATTATTATAATGCTAGGATTGCTATCACGTAAGCTATTATTATAATGCTAGGTTTTGCTATCACACAAGCTATTATTATTATTATAATGCTAGGATTGCTATCACGTAAGCTATTATTATAATGCTAGGTTTTGCTATCACACAAGCTATTATTATTATTTTAATGCTAGGATTTCTATCACATAAGCTTTTTTGATTATTATAATGCTAGGATTGCTATCACATAAGCTTTTTTGATTATAATGCTAAAAAGTAGGATGTTAAACCCCATTTCATTTCTGTTTCCTATAATCATTCTGTTAAACAATATTCATATGACAATGGTCTAATATTGCCAGGTATTTCACATGTTAAAATACTATATAAAAGATGCATTATTTTAGATTTAGGTAAAGAGCTGCCAGTTCTCGCTATAATAGTTAAAAACTAGATAATGGAAAGGGATTATCTTGAGAATTTCAGTCAAATTACTTCATTTTGAGCGATGTAAGGGCTGGTTGAAGAATAGTCGAGTCCTGATTGTCATTGCTACAATTATTATGATAGTAAACAAAGTCTCGTTTATCGATTTTTAATTAAATCATTAACCGGCAATCGTTGTTTATATTTGTTGAAAATCTCGAGCATCCAATGGCATCAAGAGTAGAAAGACCTGCAATAATGCATCATTCATATTCAAATGCTACATGATGTTATTGGGTTTTTTTTTAAAATTTCATTTTATATGTTTTAACAGTAATCTAATGTTCAAACGTTATTCTGTTATTAGAATTCAAATGCTATGTTATATGACCATACTATGTTGTTATTCATATCACACTACGACATTGCTATTATATTATTCGAATGCTATATTATCATTATAATATGCTGTTATTTATTGCTGTTATATTTTTTAAATGCTATGCTATCAATACTATGCTTTTATTCATATGACAATGCTATTATATTATTCAATATATATATGTTGTATTACTCTCCACTGTCACGTTATTCATCTTCCATTTAAATGCTATGGTGTTATTATTTATATTTAGCTGTTCAAATACTAAGCTATTAGTCAAATTCTATGTTCTTTTTCAAATGCTATATTGATATCCCCATGCAAACAAATGTTATTTTTATCCTTCTGAATGCTATGTTGTTATTTAAATGCTATATTGTTATTCAAATGCTATATTTTTTTTACATGCTATTCTATTAGTGAAATGCTATGCTATTAGTTAAATGCTATGTTATTAGTCAAATTATGTAATGTTATTCAAATGCTATATTTTAACCACATGCTATGATGATTTGCATCTGTTATATTAATATCCACAAACAAACAATGCAGTGATATTATTCAAATGCTATATTGTTATTCAAATGCTATGATTATTCACATGCTATATTAATATCTATATACTATATTGACATCCACACGCAAATTATGGAATGCTGTTATCCAAATGCATTGATGTTATTCATATGCTATAATATAAGTCAAATGCTACATTGTTATTCAAATGCTATGTTTTATCCACATGCTGTGAGGATATGCATATACTACATTGACATCCACACACAAACAAATGTTATATATCCTTCCAAATACTATGCTGTTATTCAAATGCTATGATGTTATTCAAATGCCATGCTGTTATTCAAATGCTATATTTTTATTCAACTGCTATGATTTTATTCAAATGCTATGATGTTATTCAAATGCTATGCTGTTATTCAAACACAATGATGTTATTCATAAGCTATTTGTTATTGCAATGCTATATTGATATCAACATGCTATGATAATTAACTATATGACATTCATATCATTATGACCAGTTCCTCATTTTATTCACATTATTTAGTATTATTCAAATTTTTTGAAGCAATTTTTTGCTTGATATCTATTTATGTTTATTTATGAGTGCTACTTACTGAATTGTTACTACATTTTATTTTGTATATTTACTTCCTGAGCTTTTACTGCTACTCCTATATTACTGAGTTGACTCAAATAACACACTTTTATGGAATAACAATTACTATGGTTTTATTACTGTGATGTAGCAACAAGATTTCACAAGTGGTTATCAAGCATATATGTATACACAAATATTTGTGTATATGCTTGATAACGACTTTTGAAATCTTGTTGCAGTGAAATAAACCATAGTAATTGTTATTCTATAAAAGTGTGTTATTTAATCATGTTCCAATTACTAAATTAATGCCATTCAAAGAATATACTGAGTTTA